TATGGAAATTTTTTGTTTAAAGAAAGGACTTATCTATAGCAAACTTTTTAAATTTAGGTATACAATATAAATAACGAAAACAAAAATTTACGTTTATAGTTTTTCATGGCTACTAGACCGTAATTTTGTGCTAAATTTAAATACAGGTTTACTCTAAACTAATTTAATTAAGATAGTAAACTTTATAAATATATAATATTTAGTTAGCAAGTTTACTTCCTGATGACATTAGCTAACTTCGACTTTTTAAATGTTTATATGTGCTTTTCTCTAGTTTTATTACGTTAGTGTGTAGTGCAAAATAAAAAAATTTAATAATTATATTAGTTAGTACAGAGTAGAATAGAATAGAATTGTAAAATCAATTATAGTTAACCTAATTTTAAACTTTTTAAAAAGTAAGGTTATGCAGTATAAACCTTTTTTTACTAAGAGGTTCTGAGACGCAGAACTACGGAACTCAAACTGCCATTTATTATTATTACTATCATTTGCACTAAGAACGCTAGATTGGTCATAGCGGGTGGTTAAATAAATGGTATTTTTAGAAGTCGCAGTTATTTTTAAAGGTTGATCCGTTGCAAAGTGTACCTTCATTCTAAATTTTGTTTCTAGCTTAAAATTAGCCCTTCTCTTTTCAATACCATGTTATATAACATATACTATTTATTTTTGGGCGTCCAAAGAGTGTTTGGACAAACTTTTACAGTACATACTTTTATTTTAGGCTAATTGCAAGATGTAAATCTATTTTCCAAAATAAGTTATTTTATCTTAAATAGGAAAAATGACATTTGCTAAGTTGCACATTTCACAAGTTTAAAAACGGGTATACTTCTATACGTCGATGAACAATAGTATAGCTTCATAATGTAAAGACATATAAAACGTATTTGTACGTTTTTCGTGTTTCTTCTAATTCTAATGTTTTATTCAAATTCTTGTTGCTATACCGACATTTTAACAAAGTTGAAGAGGAAGAAGGAAGACCGAATAAAAAGGAAGTTATTAAAGCAATCAAGCCATGTTTATATACCTTAACTAAAAAGTAAAAGGTTTTCGTTAATGCAATTTAGTTTGGTTTAAATTATCTAAAGGTATTTAGAATTTAAAGCCGGTAATTGTTACGACCCTTAGTTCGTAATATTTTTGAAGATAATAAGCGCCCCAATTAGTCTCCTTTAAAGTTAGGGAAGTAGAAACAAAAAGGGGTAAACTAATATGGCGGAAAGGCAACTAAGTTCTTAGGAGAAGATTGGAGCTATGGCACAACTAAGTTAAGTTATGCATAGGGGAGAGTTTAATATGTGACTTATAGCTTGAAACAGAGATAGATAAAAAGGGAAAACTTAAAGAAGAAGTAAACGAAGGGCGCTTTAACAGAATGAAGGTAATAGCACATAGTTCTAAATTAGGTGGTAAGCCTTAGTAGCCGAAGCTGTTAACCTACTAAAAATACAAATGTAATTATGGACGATTTAGAAAAAACCCTTCGCCGTAACTAAAGTTAACCCGACCATAAAAAGTAACGAGGATGGATGCTAGGTCATGGGAGTAATTGCCATTAGTATACTTAATTATTTGTTAAAATAAAATTTGCCAAAATATTTATTGTTTTTTTTCTTTCCGAGTATTAGGATCTATGGTTATTAATAAGAGGTTTCCTTCTATATGATCTCTTAGTTACGGTAGTTTGTTTATAGTTCTATTTTGTGTTTTTTTCTTAGTGCATTCATTGCTTAATAAAGTTTGTAATGAAACATATGTCCTAAATTGATACGAGTTTTTGTAATGAATACAACTTTAACTTTTACCGTAAGTTTTTCTTGCTTTCAGTCAATCCCATCAGTTTTGTTCTTTTTTTCTTAAAATTTTAAAGAGTTTCATTAGAGAAGCGGTAGATAAGGTTCGTTTATTTTCAAGTTTAGGGTTGAAGTGGTGGGGGTTAGCTTTATTATTTTAAAGGGGAAAGTTTATATAGTAAGGTTTATATCTGTGCTCGGTAATAGAGTAGCCTTAATTAACTATATTGAAGTGTGTATGGTGCTTTCATGAAACCTCTAGTCTAGTGATTTCAACTGTATTCATTGCATCTTGTGGATAAATTATGTATAAAATCTGACAAAAATGGGATTGTATTAAGATGTTCCCAACTTTCAGATCTTTAAAGGTATTAAAGAATTTTTTTTAATTGTGTTCCAGCTATAAAGCTTCGCACTTTAAAAACTTTGGAATTTTGATTTTTATTAGAAATTATTTCGGTTCAATACTGAGCTACGGTATTTTGCCGTAATGCGTACAAACCTTTTATTATTATTACAAGGGTCAGAATAATTTCGCTAAAACTGCGCCTTTGTATCACTACTAATAGATTTTTTGCCTGCCAAGAACTAACCTTAGACTTTTATGCTAGTTTCTATTAAGTAGTTTATTATTAATTTAGCATTTAGTTCAGCTTGAGGATAGTCGTTTACCCTTAACTTACAAGGCAAGAAATGGGGTTTCCTAGTTATTAAGTTATGAATGTTGCCGCACCACTAGGCTTATTAATGGCAATGTAGGCTCAGTTCATTCTTTTTGTTAAGAAAATTTAACGTTAAGCAGATGAAATTCTCTTAAGCAAAAACTTCCTTTTTTTAAGTAAAACACTTTATAAACTGAGCGTTATATTATAAGCTTCCTTTTAATTAACAAATAAGCTAATTTTTTTCAAAAAGTTGTTGATAATATATGCTTGAATATACTAGTGTACTGTAAAAGATACGTAACAGAAATAAATATAATAAAAAATATATTTATAAAAATAATGAATACTTATTCAGAGGGTTAATGAAACAGCAAAAAGACCAACGTTTAAGATATTTTCCTAACAAACACCTAAGCAATAAATAAACAAATTTTACATATATTATATGCTAATCCACCACTCTTAATGCTATAAAAAAAGTAATAATGTGACATACGTGACAAATTATGGCCATATTAACACCAAATATATTAGAACAACTGTATACAACTATTTGAAAATTTTGAACGATTAGGTTTTTTTTAACATACAAATATAGCGAGCTATTTTGCTATAGCCTAGAGGCTATAATGTTCTATAATGATAAAATATTGCGGAATGTGTAATTAGAGTAATAAAGTCATAGTAGAATATATATAAAGATAAAAGGAACTACTGTTAAGCCAGGTTGCAAAGACGCAGAACTAGATCGTAGAGAAAGAATCTAAACGAGGATACCAAGATCGTAGAAATACAGTTAAGATATTAACCCAGTAAAGGAGCTAAGATCGCAGCACAATAATAGAGAACAAGACTGATTAAGCATATAAATGGAGGAGTCCTGGCTAACGGCAATTTGAGCCTTCCGTAAGCCTCTTGTCTAGTGCTTGGAATCACTTCTCCAGAGAATTTTTTTTAGCGGTGGCGGGGGTCTGAGCCCGATATTTCTCCGCTGTTTTTTCGGGACAGTCATCATATTTTCGGGTTAAGATACCATGCCTCAACCCCTCTTAATAAATTAATAAATAAACGTGCAGTTATGTTAAATGTTTTGTATGTTCAGTTGCCTTGATTACATGTCATAAACCTAACAATGCGATCAGCTTAAAATTATTAGAATTCGGCTAGTATATATTGAGGCCACTTAATTGTTTTTAATCAAATTCGCACAGACAAACTTTATATTACTTAGATGAATTGAATTTAAATGGGGAAATTGAATAACGCATTGATCAAATGTATATGAAATGTATATTTCTAGTAAAAAGAACAATTAAGCCCTCCCCAAAAATATTGTCATTTGCATTACAATTTTTAGAACTCAACAGCTTAGTAAACGATTCCTTAAGTTGACAATGTGTATTTCTTGAGAAATTTTCTAAAGTCACATAATTTTAAAGTTTAAGAATGAAAAAGATGTCGCTCACCGGGTGCCTCATAGATATATGGCATAGGGATATACTTACATACTATGTTTAGACTTTTTTTGATTTCTGTGAGGCCCCTCTTAGCTCTCCTCCCTACGTGTTTACTTACTAAATGAGCATTTGTAAAACTATTAAAGGGTACCCACTTTGAAGCATATTTGCAATTTTGGCTCCACGGCGTTTAGGAGTAAAAGGCACAAGATAAAGTTAGCGCAATCAACGCAAATAAGGTAGGGTCTACACTAGTGTTTAAAAGGTTTTTACCAATGAATTTTTTATAATAGTAGTAAACCGATTTTAAATTAGTTTTAATTAAATCGTACTGCTACTTTCGACTCTAAAACATGCTTAGAGGTTAATGGTCTTCAGAGAAGTACCGGTTTTAAAAGGTTAAAGGCCCTCAAGTTCGACTTGAACGAGAATTTAGACGGACGCGCATCTTTCAGTTTTAACGGGATTCAGATTAAGTCACGTTATTAATGCCCACCAGCTGACAAAAAGATCGATACTTGATAAACAGTTTTGTGCTATTTATTCCCAGAAGTGGTGGTCAATCTTCCAGTAAATAATAACTTTTTTTTTTAATCTTCGTCACTTCAAGCATTGAACAAATTTTAATATTATTTAGCTCTAGGAGACTCTAAACATTACACTTAACTTTTTATATAGGAACTTAAAAACGGTTAAATGGTTTCAAGTTTATTTTTAGTAGATATGAGGTCGTTGTACGGAAAAACAGTTCCGTTTTTACTGTTAAAAAATAATTAAATAAAAATTAATAGTAGCTAGACCAAGCTTAAAGCATTTTCAGCCGCCAAAAAGAAACTAATGGGCTAAAACGATATTTAAATTAGTATGTAATCAATGTTAGGGACCCTATAGTTACGTAACTAATGAAAAAATTTCTTATTCAGGTAATAATTCGCTCTTTGAACGTTTAAAAGCTTGTTTTTAAAGAAAGGAGTTAAAATCTGGCCAATTGGGTTATTGATATATTTAGAATAAATAAGTGGTAGTTTCTAGCGTAATTTAGCGTAATGCTTACCTGTTAAAGAAAAATCAATATCATTGTAATTTCTTTACCGTAATCTAACTCCTTTCGTCCTCTATTGGTAAGCTTACTTCATTTGTATAAGTGCTTCCAGCCTTGACACGTAAAATAAAACAGTAAATTTTTTCTTTTCGCTTCTTCAGAACTTAGCTTAATGGTAAGTGCCTTAGTTTTAGGTGGTTGCGGTTTTATCGGCCGTCATTTAGTTTTATATCTTGTGGAAAATAAACTTGTTGAAAAAATAAAAATCGCTGACAAAAACTTACGAGAGATCAGTTGGCTCACACCTGAGCAAAAAAAAGTTATTGACACTGTAGACTATGTTCAAGCAGATCTTTCGACTGAAGGTTACGCTAAGTTTTATATATTTTTGGCCATACACAACCTTTATGTAGCAATTTTTTTTTAGCGGGCCGTACTAAAGCGTTTGGCGACGAAAACTGGGATTACGTATTTAACTGCGCTGGTGAATCAAGACTTGGGCTGAATGAAGAAGTATACATGGAGCGAGTTTTAGAGTTAAGTTTAAAATGTGGAGAGTTGGCTGCTTTGAAAGGTTTAGTTTTATATAGAACTTGACTCGCTAAAATTATAATCAAGTCAGTCTTAAAGCTTATAATACTTAAAGTAGATAGACCTTACAAATGCTTCTTTTTATATTTTTTAACTTACTTACAAAAATTATTGATAAGTAGGCTGTAAGGGATTTGTAGAGATTTCGGATGCCCGAGTATACAAACCTAAAAAGGTTTTTTTCGTTTTTTTTATTAATGCCATTAAGGGAGTTACTGTTATTATAGTCGCCTGCCGTAGAAGATTCTAAAATAGAACCATGGACTATAATTTCTAAAATGAAATATGAAGCAGAGAAGTCGCTTTCATCAGTTAAAAACTTGAATCTTGTCATAATACGGCCCGTGTTAGTGTATGGCGTTAGCGATCTACTGAGCATCAGTACTTTCTAGTTTTTCTTCGTCCCCTTTGTTAATATGTACTTAGCTTGTTTATTACTGGTGTTATAGCGCCGCGGATAGTAATAGGGGCTGTTTATAAAACTTTAAAAGAAAAGATGAAACTTTTGTGGACAGAAAATTTGAGTCTTAACACCGTTCATGTAAAAGACGTTGTAGCGGCGATTTGGCACGTCAAGGATAAAACCGGTGAAGTTTTCAACTTGGCAGACTCTTCCTATACCAGTTTCAATTATTATATATTTATAAGATTAATTATCCATCTCGTTTCCTACAGCCCAAGAGACAATTTCTAGAATCGTTTCAGAAATATTTAATGTTGAGCATGGTTACCACGGATCAGTTATTTCTAACACCGCAGCCGCGTAGGTTTCTATACAATCAATTATTATCTTTCTCGTGCGACAGATGATTTCTCTTTGTACTTATACCTATTTGATAGAGTGGGAGGGAAAACACTGGCGAAAACTATTAATAGTAAGCATATGGCTCCCTGGTCGGAGCTGTGCCGCGCCGAGAACATCGAGAGTACCCCTCTTTCCCCTTTCATTGACGAGGTCCTCTTAAAAAACAACAACCTCCTTGTTGACGGCCGAAAGGTGACTCATAACCAGCATCCTATATTTATTGTACGCTAATGGATAACGCCCCGCTCAGATTACTTCCACGGGGTTTACCTATAAGTATCCTGAAATTACCAAAGACCTGTGTCTTGAGATTTTAGAGGGTTATATACAGCTCGGTGTCTTTCCTAAGTCTGTTTTAGAAGACTAGACTAAGGCTTAATTTTTCCTTAACTTTAATACATTTTAATAAAAGCGAACTGTTAGTTACATATACTATCAGTAGCTTCGAGTATATGATTGAAATCAAGTCGTTTTCCTTTTAATTAACGTCTCCATCAATTCATTTTAATAGTTTTTAACAGAGTTGAAACTATTAATACTTACGTTTATTATCTTCAGGATAAAATAGTACATTCTTCTAGACAGTAATAATTTCTATATGAGTTAGAAAGTTTTTTATTTGGTTTCTACTTCAAAAAGGTTACGTACCTTGTTGCTAATTTAAATAAATTATATAAGGTTAAACCATTTTTTTGAAACTATAGAAGTGGCGCAGTCATACAAACTTCTGGAAAGCTATAGACCGTAGCATTTACCTTTTTTAAAGGATATGCTGAGTGTTTTTATTCCCTTTAAATATTGTGAGTAAAACTAAAATTGCGGTACACTGTATAAAATAAGCAATATTTATGGTATTTTTATTAAAAGTAAAATACATATTGTTAAAAATAATTTTATACCGTTGACGAAGGCATATATTTATACTTAAGCGGTCTCTTATGATTCTATCAGCAGTTGGGAGCACAGATTATTTATGCGTGTAACATAATATTCTCCCTTGCCTTAAAGTTTTTCTCTGTAAAAAGTCACTCGCGGTGTAGGCCAATACGGTTCTTTCTTAGTTTAAAAATAACATTTTTTTAATTGAATTTTTAGTTACTTTTTTTTTGTTTTACGGAATTCGTTAAATTGTTGTAGTAAGTGTTGAGTAAGTGTTGGAGATTTTAACTTTTTATTTTAGTAATTTCGAACTAACATAAACTACTATGGCATTATGGTATGAAAATTCTACAACTTCGAGCCAAAAAGTAGGCAAGAGCCCTAACAATATTCATAAAGAAGTTTATGGTTTCATAAGTTTACTCAAAATTTCACTGCTCATCATAGCAGCATTCAACTTTGTAAGCAAAATTTTGTATTTGCTCTTATTAATGTTGCCTTGTTATAATAATAAATAATATATTATATTCTTATTTAGTCGATTAATAAATAAACCTAATTTTTAACAACGTACACAACTTTAATAGAGAAACACTAATGACTAATAAAGCAAAGATCCAACCAAGTAAATAATATAAATTTTTAGCAAGCAGTGCTATAATAAGTAGAGGGATAAAGCCTTACCCCTCTAAATATAAGTTCGTAGTCGAGGCTTAACTAGCATCCCTACTAGCCGATCTGCGGGAATCCTCGGTTTTCAGACCTACACCGTCTCTCCTGGTGGGTGTTTTTAGAGGTTTTTCACCATTGTCCAACAAGAGGGCAGTGGGAAACCAAGTACAGACCACATTACATGTTTAAGTTAATTACATATGAACGAACTGCACGCCCAGTCTCTTTTGTCTTTGTCTTTTGGGTGCAGTTGCAGAATAGTCCAATAAAATCGTACCTCTCTCTATATCAAATTTAATTATAAGCGCTACAGTCAACTCGAGAGACTACGCGAGTGGAGGACTTAACTTACACACGTAGGCCACAAAAAGCGGAGTTCGGGTCCACTAATTCATCTTAAGCTTTCAGTCCTTCGGGTAGCAATGATAAAGTTGGTGGGCCTTCGAACCATCTTGATGTGAAAGGGGAATACAGATTAAGAGGGTTTTAATTTACTTAAAAAATACAAGCTGTGTGCCAGTGTTCTTGTTAGTAATAAGGTTATATAATTTAATATGTGGTTTTCTCCTTTTAAACGGAAGTACTTTGTGGAAATCTGAGTAATAAAATTTCGAAGATGCCATCAAGTTTTTTATTAAAAAATTTTCTTTTGACATTTGACACATTTATTTGAGTAAAAATCAATCCTAGCTCTCTACATAATGAATTGTTTAAGTAGACATAAAGATTGTATAGGGCGTGAGCTTAACTATGACGGACTGATGAAAATGATCAACGTAATGATGTTAAGGGTTGTGTGAGAATAAAGAGAATTAAATAATATAGGTAATTTAAAGGTTTTTGAGGGGATTAAAGTATGGATTGAAAATGGCTTATCTTAAGATAATGTTTACTAGTTGTAAAGTAAAATTGTAATCATAAACTGTTTAAAGGATAGTATTCGACCAATTAATTCGTAGGAAATAAAGCCTTGAAGGTAGAGACAAAATTAAAGGTTCGCCTCTGTTTTATGATACATATGCTACAAATAATAACCATTAGCGCTTAAAGTTTCGGAGAGTGAGCGAAAAGTTATTAAAAGAGGGTAATTGGAATGTTATAAAGCAGGAGCTTAAAAAAAAAACCTCTAAGTATTCGAAGATTAGAGGGGGTTTATAGAACCGGTTAAAAGTATAGCGCTTTTAATTAATTATAATAGGAGGAAAGCTAGTAACAACAAATATTTTACTATGGATAAGTCAAGGAGAGCTTTGTACTATTTAAAATATGTTGACCTGGGCAGTGAGAAATTTATACCGTGAGTAAATCTAACCGATTAAAGACTGGAGTGGGGATCTGTGGGTTAAAAGTTAACTAAAGGTTGTAGAATGTAAACTTTAAAATCTCCAAGTGAAATGACTGGGGAGAGAGGAGTTAAGCGGTTGATTAAACCTCGCATCAAAAAAAAGGGGTCAAAATATTTCATGTTAAAGTATTATCTTAATGTTCTTCAGTTGACTAACAAAGAAGAATTTTAATGCTCAAGGTGGAAGACGCGCAGCAGCTTGAATAAGAGCACTAATGTTTTCATTTTACAGACCGAAGCAAGGTATACGAATATGGGAAACTAAACGCATTAGAATTATTGTGGCTTTTTTCGCTTGAAATTAGGAAGCCCAGTACCTCCACTGATCCTAAGCGTTAGCCATTGGATAATGCGCTAAGAAATTAATTCTTAACAGTTTCTATGAACAAAATCATTTTAAGAAAAAGAGTTCGTTCTTAACTTATTTTAAAACAAATTTTATTATATTCTTTATAAGCTAAATATGAGATACCACTGGTTTTAGGCAAAGTATGGTTTCATAATTGGTAAGTTATCTTCAAAAATTTAAATGTAAGAATGATAAATGCGACAAATGTGTTCCATCACTTCACCGGAGAAATCATAAAGGATAAAGCTAGATTAAAAAAAGGAGAGATTACTAGTTTTTTAAAAATGTAACTTTATTTGCGTAAGTTATGCTAGTGGCCTAAAAAATATATATACTAGTTAATGATCTACAGATAGGCATTTGAAACAACCTTTATAGGTTGAGTTAATTTAGCCTAAATTGACTTTTTCTTCAACTTAGGTATTTACCTTTGATTGACAATTTATCTCAAAATAACTCCATAATTTTCTTTACAATAAGTCGTGAGTACATATTTAAAAAAGTGTTGCATAGAATTTAGAGATTTATGTATCGATGAAAGCTTGACTCTAGAAAACGGGCTCGTAAACAATACATACCTTCAAAAAGGCAGATGTGGAATCAAGATGTTTGTTCTTTGCGAATTTTAAATTAGATATTTAACGGACTCCATTGTTTATGCCGATTTCAAAGAGATACAACGAGGTGGAAACTGTTTCAGTGTTAACTTCTTCGTTACAACCAATTTATGGCACCAGTTTTGGGATTTATGTGAATAATTGTCATACACAAACCTTTTCTATTTACATAATTCATTAGCGAAGATAGACGCTGTAGGGAAAGCAAATACGCAAAAATAAAAAGGGTTTACCACACGTGTGGTAAAGCATACTGTTACTTTGATGTGTAACGTAGGGAAGGAATTAATTTTTTTTTAAGGATTCTACTATAAGTATCAACCTCCTTGTAAATACAATACTGCGTGTCATACTTTTGATGACCTGACACGTCTTTTAAAAATCCCGGGACCGACCCGGAGGTGCCCTCTCAATTATTAACCTTCTAAAAGATACCTGTCAAAATTTGATAACATATAGACCAATAGTTTAGAGACCTTGAATTATTTGTGACGGTATCCTTATTATTTTCAAACAATGGAAAAAAACGAGTTTCTTGTTTTGATTAGGTACTGTTTTTTTTATTGGGAAAATATACCGTGCAAGCTCAGCAATAGATTGAAAGTGTTTATAGGTATCTGCTCCGTCGAAAACACAATAAAGCTAAATTATTCGGATGCCCAATTGAGGCAGTTACTTTAGAATAGATCAGAAAAATACATAAAATTGCCGTTGATCGTAAAGTGAAGTTGGTGAGTTAGCTGACATTGTAAAGATAATAGAACGTGTGGGGTATATTTGCACGAACATTTAAGCATACGAAGTCTCTGCTCGAAATGGGTGCCATGTGTGCTCAAAGGGGAGCAAGAACAACATCATGTAGATGATTCAAGCGGATTAAAAGAAATTTACTATGTGATATGTAACATTGGATGAAACCTGAACCCATTATTACACTCCACTGTGAAGAAAGCTGTCAACTCAGTGGGAAAAAAAATTGAAAGTCGCTATAAGCAACCAAAGATGCAACTCTGCCGGGCAGGCTATGACTCCGTATTTTGCGATGCGCTTAGTATAATATTCATTGGCTACCTTGAATAAGAAAAAAAACATGAATAGAGAACTATTATATAGCAATATTGCTTCAGATGAAGGCGGAATACTCATAAAAACGAACCCAAATTGAAGAAAATATGCTCTTTCCTCAAGACAAATGCACCGTGCCACAAGTCGAATACGAAGGTTAAAATGCATGAACTGAAATTCGGTTTGACTACGCACCCCACCGTACTCTATTAGATATGGCCCCCAGTTACTATATTTAACTCTTTGCAGACTTCCAAAAAATGCTCCAGGGAAAGATAAAAGTCAACGAAGAAGTCATCATTGAAACAGAAACCTACTTTGAAGACAGAGACGCACCATTCTATAAAAAGGTACAGAATAGTTGGAAAACCGTTAAGCTCTTGAAGGAGACTATTATAAAATACAAGAGAGTTATGCTAAAAAAAAAGTTGTGCTTAGTTAGTTAGTCCCGGGGCTTTCCAGGCGATGTTTCATGACCTTCTGTAACTATTTTATGACACAATTTAATTTATAACTTTTAAAATGGGTTTTTAAACTCATATTTTAGTGGTAATAGTATTTTGGGATGATTTGAGACGTATGTTAAAATTATTTTTTCACTACTGTAAGTCGGCTTTCCTTTTAAACGTATACATACACTCAAACTCTTTTAATTCCACTGTTTACAGCACGTAAATATACGTTCCTATTAGTTTAAAGGTAAAAGGGCCTAAGCGAGGTGTGAAAAACAGTTAGAAGTCATATTGAACGATAGAGAGATAATAGTATTGATAATATAGCAAGTTTAGACTAACAAATAATTTCAGACAAGAGGTGTGGTGGTGGGTAGGTAAAACACTTGTAGTTTTAATGATATTTACTTTATAATTTTGACTCAACTACTATTAACTGAATACATATACAAAAAACTAAACATAAGTTTGTAAGAAGGAAAAGTGTTATAGACGCCTTTTAAGACAATAAAAATATGTTTGCTCCTTAAATTACCGCTAGATCTCAACTTCAAAGCAGAAACTTATCAATTAATAAAAGCTAGGCAAATTCTATATTGACAATTCTTACCCTTGTCGTTGCCGCCACAGCACTATCTCGTTCAACGTTGCCTTCCAGTTCTTTTCTGTTTTTTATCTCCTAAGATTGATAGAAACGGGGCTAACAATAATGTTATTTTTCCATTTAAAGTAAAGATAAAAATAATAATTATTAATTTTGCTATTTAGCCGTTTAATGCAGCGTAGCTCACTTATAAATATTTTATTAAAATGAGTAAAGCCTCAACTAATGGGCTAGAAGGTATAGCCACGCCTACGCTATAATTTTTTTAAAGTGTAATATTTATTAATTACGTACATAGATGAAAAAAGTGTCTGTCAAGTTATGTGTGAAGGTCATTTTTATAATAATTTTAAACATATTACCCCAAATCTATTGCTTTTACTTTAGGAAAGAGTGATTTGGATCCTACCAAGAAAAGTTTTTACGAAAGTATGTATCTGATACACATCTTTGATGGATCTTAATAATTCTTTAATTAGCCTCTTCATCTAAAATTAAAAAGACAGGTGAGGATCAAACTACAGGTTTTTTAAAATTATTTTAGTGGGTGACTTAAACTAGTTTCTTATTTAATATTTTTTAGAAATCGTACAGCATTATAACAACGCTCCGTCCCTTTGTTTACAAGAGCGCAGACAGAGGTTTTCATATAGTTTAACTGTATAGACTTAATAAGGTGTTTTGTAATAAAATTAAAGGTTTAATTTTGTTTTTTTGTATTGTTGGCCAATAAAATTTTGATTTAAAAATTTTTCTACAATTAATAAAATTTTGGTTCCTTAAATGTACGTTTAGTTTTAATTTTGTGCTATAAAAATTATAGGAAACAGAGAGTTTTATACTTTCAGCTTAGTGCTTTGCATATATATAAATAAAAGTTTTGTCATTATCATGCAGATTAATAATTTAATGTTAATACTTAATTTTTAGTTGCATACTTTCCACTCGAAATTTCAACAACTGGATCAAAGCTGTGCTTATACAGAAGTACGCCTTTCCAAACTGTGCCGTTTTGGATTTATGCTGCGGAAAAGGAGGAGACATAAATAAATTTTGCAAGTCCGAAGCGTACTCGGTCATCGGAGTCGGTTTGAAAATTTATGTTAGACTAACGTTTAAATTTTTGCTATTAGTTTTTTATTTGTATACAGAACGTTTGTGTAATTCTTAATACTCTTAATTATGAATTCATGATCTGTTATTTTTTTCAGCGACAATTTACCAGTATTGGCCGCTTTATATTTCTCTATATAATATTAACTTAGTAACAGTAGTACACCGAATTGCCATCTAAATTCAGCTATCTGGAAAGTAATAGTTTACGTAGTGTTAAATCATGCTTACAGTCAAATAAATTAGGGTGGCACTACTTCACTACTTAACAATTTATCTTGCGGCAGACATCGCTGCTGTTTCTGTTGAGCAGTGCAGAAAGCGTTACGAAGATCTTTGGAACAGAAGACGGCCGCGCGCTTATTACTTTGTTGCGGATTGCTTTGTGGTGTGGTACTTTTCCGCCTCGTTCCCTACTTCTGTTGACTACCGTCCTCTTGGTAGGACCGGCTGAAGCCTCTGTACCCGCCGCCATGCCCACTATTTGACCTTGTTAGTTGCCAATTCGCTATTCACTACGCCTTCGAAACGTACACAGCTCACACCGTCTCGGCGTCGCTTTATTACTTTTATTTACTGCGTGTTCAGTCTGGCAAAAGCACGACGATTAATCTTAAATGCTTCTGAGTGCTTGAGAGTCGGAGGCCATTTTATCTGCACCACGGCGGATGCTTGTCGCATTGTGTGAGCGATTCTTCTAGTTTTTATAGTTCTGCGCAGCGTCATACGACTTATGGCGCTCTGCCAGCGATGCAGGAAGACTCTGCGCTTTCTAAGGACGACGAGCTTCGGCAATAGTCTTTTTAAAATCCGTTTTGATGATAGCCAGAATAGTTTAGGTGTGTTGCTATGTATTTCTACTCGTGTGTGCGGAGCTGAACTACAGTTAGAGAGCGTCCCGGTCTTTGGAGCCAAGTATTATTATTACCTTAAAGAAGCGGTGGACCACTTGCCTGAGTACCTCGTGCACCCCGCTGTTTTAATTAGGTATTCTTCATACTTGCTTTTATAATAAAAAACAGCTTGTAACTTCTTTTTTAGTTTAGTGGAAGAATATGGCATGAAGCTAGTTTTATACGAGCGGTATTTTTTTGAGTAATTTCTTCTTTATAGATAATATTTTTCCGCTTGTAGCTTCCACGAGTTTTATGCCCGAAATATACAAGACCCGTCATACAGGGAACTCTTCAGCTGGATGAAAGTTTTAAACGAAAAGAACACTATAGACCACGAGCAGTGGGATATAGTGGGCTTCTATGTAGTATTTGCTTTTAAAAAGGTTGAGCATATCGTGCCGGACGATTTCATAGGAAAAACAAGGCAAGCAACTGTCTAGGATAGTAACTACTTCGCACAATAAAGACTTTCGTGGACTTTTCATAATTTTAGGAAATGTGAGAAAGTTACTTAGTAAAGAGACGTCAAGGCGTTAGGCGTCTTGTTCAGTACAACTTAAAATAATAACATAACTTTTAGGTGAACACAAACTTACTTATGCTGCCAGGCTTAGTTAACAATTATAGTTTACTGCATAGAAGTAAAAGGAAGTCAGAAATCTAGCTATGTAGCCCTTTAACACTAAGAAACTCTAAAAGGCTTATCATATTCGCTCTGCTTTAAGGAGTTTTCTGGTGAATGAAGGCGATTACTTGACACTGTTTCTATCACTTATTTTGCTACTAAAGTGCGGTTACACTTCATTTTTCGATTATCCTAATCGCTCTTAGACCGAAATAGACATTTCTTAGTTATTTAATTCACCAATAACCGCGTAGATCCATATTTATATCAAAAGACGCGATTAAAAAGCGATAGTCCTAATAGCAACTCAAATAATTTATCAGGTCTGAAGTCCTGTATTGCCACAATAACAATACTATAACAAACATCTTATTTCTTGGACGCCTGTAGTAAGAAAGTTTAATTGGCATTCTTCAGTCACAAAACCCCCTTTAAAGGTGTTTCCGAGCGCTCCCAGTATTATCTCAAAGCCCTTTTTGGCTGAGCTATGTTTGTCGTGTGTAAAAATTGATATAACTAAGACGCTGTGATTGTCTTGTAAAGTAGGCTTGAATTATGTTAGTGCACAAGCATTTTTACCGTTTAGAGGGAATTTCTAACAAACAAAGTTCTAAACGAAGCTTACACCTCTAGTTTCCAAATTATCGGCATATTAATTTCGTCGGAAACTTTATCATTCTTACTTTTGAAGATTTTGATGATAATACTTACTTTTAAAGCATATTCCTACCTACGGCCACACACAAAAGATAGCAAATTGATGACAATTTTTTTAAAGTGTATTATTAACCCATGCTATATTGCTTAAAACAGGTTTTCAGTAGCTGTTCTGTTACCTCATGAGCAAGCATGTTCACTCGCTTTGAAAGTGAGGCACTTGTAATCTGCTAACAAGGTCGAATGCTCGCCTACCAGCTGATGGTAACCCACTAGTTATTAGCACTCTCTCCTTGAAAATATTGTATAATGCAGTCCTTTTATTAATTTGTTATAATAAAACTAGCGCCATACATTAAGCTGGTATTATATAAAACAAGCGTGTGGGAAAGTATTTAATATAATTTATAAACGCCGATTTTTAAAAACCTTGTGTTCAGTCATAAAAACCAAAACCTCATTAAACCTCAAAATATTTATGCTCGGAAGCTGCGTAAAGGGAGGCCGCCAGTCTCGTCTTAAAAGGATGACCGGTGATATAATAGGTAAACTTATAAATCTAGTTAGTAAAAATTGCGGATTGGACTCGAAAAATAAATCCTCTGTATGGGAATTACTCTTGGACAACTGTTATAATAAAAAATCTGAAGTGGAAGTCAAGCGTTTATTAAACGAATACCTTTTTGTGTTAAGGTTAAACAATAATTTCAACATAGCTGAACGAATACTAAGACTATGCGCTCTAGGAGAAGGTTCATAATACTAAATTTAAATCTTTAAATAAGCGATCTACTTAACTTTAATACTTTTAACTTATTGAACAAAAGAAAGTTGTTGCGAATTTTGGTCTTGCATATCTTTTTTGCTTAACTTTACTAGCCAAGCAGTGAGTAATTTTTTTTGTAGCTCCTACCATTAACTTTAAATTAGATTTTTTTATATCCCAGGAAAGTATATATGGCACAAGTAACTTTTTTTTTTTGCAGTTACCTGAGAGGTTTCGAAAGGAGCAGATGGTTTCAAATCTTAACTATTCATTAGAACAAAGAAACTTGGGGGACTACCTAGACACTTCTTTAGTTTTTCTTAAAGAAGCTAGTTTAAGTAGTAAATATCGTCAACTTTTATTTTTTGGCATTTCTCTGGATTCAAGGCCTCTCGATTCTCCCCTTTATTCAAATCAAAAATATCATTCGGGCTCAGAAACAAATATAAACAATAAATACTTCCATTCACATTGTAATAAGAAAGGTCTAGTTGATTCCAAGAGGGAAAGTAAAAGAACTACTATTATAAAAGAGGTGACAACTTGCAAGTGAAGTTGTTCTATATTGTCGCATTATTTCCATTTTGCAGATTCCGGCTTTAGCTCTGCGCAGAAGTTTATCTTATGAAGACCTCAGAGTTTTCCGGCACGAGCCTGTAATGGATGTCAGTGCTATCAAAGATCTGGTAGCTTCCATGAAAGCGGGCGTTCTAGGTCTTTTTTCTTGCCGGATTTTGTCTGTCGATGGAAATTTTGGAACTTTTTAGCAGGTTTAGACGATCATCTGTTTTATTTTAACGAAACTAGTCTTGCGTATGAAACCTTTCCTTCCCATATTCGGCTTAATAATGTCGGCTCACCAGCCCTGCTCGCATATTTGCGTGACTTCACTTCCGCCATTAGCGCCTTGAAAATTCTGGATATTGTTTCTGTGCATATGCGGGAGGACGAAGATCCCTTTATACGGTGATTAGTATTATTGTAGTCGGAATATTTTTTCTAAAAAGACTTGTGTAAAGAAAAGTTTTTGCTTCAGTGGAAAAGCAGGTGCGCAGCCTTCGCTTGGAGTTGGTCCAGTCACTCCACCAAGAATTTCATACCAATCTACTTCTCCATGCTTTGTTGAAGATACGCCGTTTTCGGAGCCGCATATTATTATTAACTAGTCTTTGCGGAATTGATTTGAAAGCAAAGACAGTGTGTCCTTTTCCCAGAAGTACTTTGCTATTCAACCTCGTCCGGACAGCCGTCCAGGTATACTCCGCCTTCGTCTGTCTCCACTTACTATGTGCCACCCTCATATAGCAATTCATAGGCTCGCGGGACTGAGCAAGTCATGGCCTTTGGTCTGCTTGACTCGGCATTTGCCTTATTGTTAGAGGAAGTCGCCGCTCGTGTTACATTGACCGGTTTGCCCCCTGCCGGCCAAGCACTTTCGTTGCAGCTTCTAAAGGAGACTCTTCGTAAGAACCTTAATTTGACCGCGTTTATGAGCCCTTTAAAAAAGGTTTGCTTCTTTCCTGCCACGTGTTCAATCGTTTCTCATTCTCTATTGAGTAGTTTTTTATCGGAATTGCGCAAGATTTTTATGTCCTCAAGTACTTTTCACCAGAACACACTTATTTTTCGGCGTTGGAGGATTATTGCAGGTTTCCTATTAGTACTGCTTTATTTTCTCCCCTTAATAAGCCAAACCTACAGAAGTGTTGAACTCTTTAAGCATCCAACGGGTATCGGCACTTTTCTTTCTCTGGATGCAGGCATAGACATGGCTAAAGCAAATAATACGGGCGTCTTTGATTATTTTTCTGCACTGCACACTTCTCTTATAAGCCGTTTCAGAGCCAGGTGTTCACCTTTTCTCTCTGCGCACGTTTCCATCGTTTTTCATGTATTTTTCTTTTTTGAACCAAAAGTGCAGTGTTAAAAGATCATACAACGGCAGCGTTGGGCACCTTGAATTTTCGAAAACACGTAGATTGTATTATAAAGTGCTTTTTAACGTTCTTAACAAATCTTCGCCTGTTGAAACAGTTTATGTGGGCAGGTATGCTTTGCTGCAGGACAGCGCATTTACCCACGAGCTTTTGACTCTTCTGCAGGGGCAGGTACAGCTACCTTTCATTGGTCGGACTCTCTCTTTCACTCCTGTGTTTCCCGCACAGGCGCATTTACCCTTTAATGAGCTGCAAGCAAGCGTGAACTGGCTACTGGATGAGCTTGACTCCGAGAGTTCGCCGTTCATCCGCTTAGCCACTCACAACGCCTGCAATTCTACAGGGCAGCCAGAAATGTTTATTGAATACCAATTGCCGTCGACAATGTCTTTGCTTATGGCCAATACAGAAGTTTTGTCCCATTCTGCGTTGCTATTGCTAAAGCTCAAGCTGTCTCTCGCTCATTTGTATAATAATAAGTCGCGTGCCAATTTTATTCGCCATGAGTTCGCTGCTGCTTTCCGCCTTCAAACGACCCTCTCCGCAGTGGATCAGGATATCAGCTTGCATTTAGAAACAGCACGGCGCACTGTACTCACCATCATTTCTGTCTCTGGCGGATGTTTATCCAGCTTAGCAGGAGCTCTTCATGGTTTCATGAGCAGCATTCAATCCGCGTAAGTGTCTAAAAATTTTAGTGTGACGGTATATATACTATGGGAGTGTTTAATAGGTGCCTGCAAAAGAGCCATCAGCGAAGCGAACTTGAACGATTATCTCGGGAAATTCAAAAAACCATTTCCTTTACAGATGTCACAACCAAATGTCTATAAGAATTGTCCGGAAGGAGTGGGCAGAAACAATTATAAATATCAGTGGACATATAGCGAAACTTTTTTTCATTAAAGGATTTCTTACCGGTGTTTTTGTAATAAGAACTTTGGGTATATAGCAAATAGTAAGAGAGGAGTTTTTGGATAAGGACGGGGGATACGCAAAAGAGCTCTGCTAGAGGTGCCGACCTTAAAAATTGGTTGCACGTTTAAAATATTTTATTAAAAACTTAAGTATAGAACTATTTGGTTCTATGACTAGTTAATTGACTGTCAGCAAAGAATTCGTCGTAATAAAATAGTAAGATTTTCTGATCGCTCAGTAGTTAACAAGAGATTGTTGACGAAAAGCAGGCTAATACTTTTTAAGCAATATATTTATGTCTTTCTCATGCCCACATCCTCCCCAGTGTTGTGTTTATCGATTATATATTGTATCCCTCACCTTTATTCGTAAAGGCTTCCAAAGTGAGTACTGAGCTCCTACGCCCAAAAAAAATGCTCTTACAAGTGTGCTTCGCATTTTCTGTTCACCCGATCAGTGTCGGTATAAATTTTAGCAAAGAAATTGGATTTTTTGGAGTTTGCGTAGATAACCCCCCATTCTTGATTATAGGAACCTCTAAATCTTTTTTTATAGGTTGAACACAATTGGCATGTTTCCTAGGTTTTATCGGTAAAAGTCAAGAATTGCAGTCCATCTTTCCATTATATGTTTTGAAAGCTCGTAATTCTCGTTTAACAATATTACTATCCTTTATAATGGTCAATTATTCACTAGAGGCCCGGCCTTTCCATGTTTGTCTTTCAAAGCGGCGTCGTTTACAACCTGTTCTTGAAAGTGAAAATGGGATTTAAAGGTGGTCGCGTACTTTAAAGATTTGACAATGAGTCTTTAAAGACAGAAGTGGTCCTGTTAATTCTGGAATAACAAGATGCATTGAAGGGAGGTAGGATGTCGCTTAACAGATTTTTTAACAAGAGCTCGATCAGTACTTTACAAATTTCTAAGTGGTGTCCAAAAACTCATTCTTAATTCCAATAGGACTGAGCAAAGTTCAAGTGACAATTCGTAGAAGGTTTTGGTACGTACAGGTACAGAGCCATATCCAGTACATCCAAAGTATTCAACCACTCGGTATCTCTGCCACCCCTACAAAGTCTCGAGGCATTAAGAATTCCCCTAAGTTTGGCTGACCAGGGGTCCGAGTCTGTGGGTCGCTGTCTACCAATTCTCTTGCAAGCTACTACCTGTCACCACCTTGGACGCCATCTTTGCGAGTAATTTCTCTGCTGTTTTGTGCGGGGATCTCAATGGCACGCACCCTTTCATGGAACAACCGAACCGATAATTCGGAAAGACACATCTTTGAGGCCTATGCTGACGAACAAACTCGGTCACTACAGGCACGATGGATGTACTGGATATTTCCATATTAAAAGGTAGACGTCTCTTAATGGCAACTGAAGCGCTCCACGAGCTGTCTTCAAATCACCTTCCTGTTTTCTCGAATTAGACGACGAGGAGACACCGCAGAGACTATCACTAGTATTTTTACCCAATTGAACATATATGCTGAGTTTTTAGAAATCACATTCGTCCGCCGTGTCCGTCACTACCGTCTACACCCGCCCTGCTGGATGATGCCTTTACCTTATTCGAAAGCGTATACATCGCTCACATACCGACACGATAACTCGTGAAGTAACGTACCGCCCGATCGCCTGTATACCGAACTAAGCCACGTATATGCCAACATCGACGTTTTATCCGAGTGACCATGTCGTGGCAGAGCGATGTAGACAAACTTGCGCTTATTCGTTGCACAGGGCGATGGCCTTTAGCGCCTTTCCGACCCGATGGGAGACTGCACCGCTGTGAGCTGCCAAAGACACATCTAATCAAGTTTGGCATGAAGGTCTGCTGCACAAACTGCGCTCCTTATCCGTTCCATTCCTTATGCCCTTTACAACATGTTGAAGTCATATCTAAAAGGTCGCGTCTTCAGCATGCGCGTAGGAGGTACACAATCGCCGCTGCGATCTTTGACAGCAGGGGCCCTTCCTGGATCACTTCTTCCGCCCCTTTCATTTGCAATTTATGTGAATGATATGCCCTTGCCATCAAAGCCACACACACAAGAATCGCTCTCTACGCCGATGATACGCCTGTTTACTCTTCGTCGAAGTCTCCCGCCTTGATAGGCAAGCATACACATCTCTATCTTGACGCCCTTGCTGATTTATGCCGTAGTAGGAAAGTTACTAAAGAGCGATGAAGAGGGTAGGCTTTTAATAACAAAAAAATACGTCCCTTTGTTTGTGTGAAGATTTCGTTGTGTTCTCAAGTCAAATAGTTGGGAGTCGTCAGTGACAACAAAATTTTCTTGCAACAGCTAAGGCTCTTTACCCTTGATTATGTGGTAAGGGCAAGCTTTCCCTGCGAATCGGCAACTGCATATGTCCTACATCCAACCAATAATGATATATACGTCTGCTGCTTAGACCTACGACACCGCTGCAACAATGTCGCACTTTAAATACGACAGAACAAATTGCTGAGCGTGATGACAATTGGGCGAAATGAATCTCTTCACCGAAGCCTTCAGTTGGACCTTTAGACGTCGTCTTCCAAAGCAATGCGAATGCTCTTTTCGCCAGGCAGCCCGGCACACTAACCGCCTGTTGGGAGCGAAGTTACTTACGAGCTATTGGACGGGACAAGTTATCGCCGCCCATGGGACGCGAGTAAGCGCTGGTTTTGTTTGTTAATGTCAAATTAATAATGACACCTCGATCGAAACCTATTTTGTAATAAGTTTAGGATCACTGCTGATTGAGAGCTCGGGTATTCGAAGCTTTTTGACTTGATCGAGCATCAGGAACTGTCAATTAAAATAAATAATAAATAACTCGAGCTCGGTGGCGGCTTGAAAGAAGGAACTTGCTATAACTATCTTGCTTGTTTTGCACGAATTACTACTTATAATTCATCACTTTTACTAAATATTTAGTTTTCTTGTCTACTTCCTAACGCATATATACATATATTTATTTTACTTAAATCTATATAATTTTTTTCTGCATTAAACTCTTAATTCTATATTTTCATCAATTCGTTATGGATATTACTTTTGTTATTACAGAACAACAGAACTTTATCGCTAGTCTACTGATTGCGAAAGCCGTTTTTAAAAAGGTATTAGAGTTGCTTAAAGTGAAGAAGATAAAAGAACAAGAAGAACTAAAGACTATTATGGGAGCTACAAACGATAATTCTTATTCCGTGTAACAAATTCTATAAAAAAACATGACTTGGGCTTTTATAAAGCACACGTTGAAAGACAAAGATATGAAAAGAAAGGGGTTCCTTTTAGTAGTAATACTACATCGTATAATAGTAATAATTTTATTAATAGTAATAGAAATCTGGTATTAATCGCTAATAGCAGCAATGATAGAAGAGAGCACTGCGGGGCTCTCGCTGTAAGAAACTGAGGCAACGACAGTTTAGGGCCTACTCGCACGTTGAAGACCGGCCGTTTAAGTACGACTCAAGAACTTCTCGAAGACCACGCGGTATCTCCAAAGCATGTACCTTGCTTAACAGGCCACCATGCCATGCTCGGTTAAAAGTCTTACCAACGTTGAGAAAGATCGTGCTAGTGGCTTTTTAAAAATTAAAGGTTCCGGTCGTTTACTCGGTTAGGCGAAGAATTTATCGGGTTCTTGAGTGTCCCTTGCGAAATCCAAACTAAAACTCGGGTAAAATTCCCCTAGCGTCCGCATTTGCGATCAAACGATTAAGTATCACTGCTTCAACAATACCAACTGCCGACAAAAAGCTGATGGGTCTATAGTTGTGAGACTCTGATGTCAGTTACCATGTCTTTGGTAACATCACGGCTACCGTTATTTTCCAAAAGTTTGGAAAAATAGCCGCAGATCAATACCGAATTAACGAGGTTGCATAGATGATTCATAGCAGTCTCAGTCAGCTGTTTTAACATCAGGTTAGTGATGCCCTCAGGGTCGGGGGCCTTTCGCTTCGGTAGTAATTTGAATGTTGAATTGATCTCACCAGTGGTAGACAGCTCCCAATGATAAGTTTAGGCGGAAGGGGAGCGTTGTCGAGGTTTGAGGCGGTAGACGGTAAACACTGGGTAGCTAGATGATCAGCAAAAAGTTTCGCTTTGTTTCATCGCCTAATTCGCTTGTCATTTCGAAAAGAGGCGCGACCGATGCTTTCCGATACTTCGTTTAATTTGTTATTCCCAAATACAGTTTATATGCGCCATCAACTTTTTCCTGATGTGCCAATGAAGGCGGTTTTAGCACTATTTGTCTTCTGCGCGTTAGAAGGCCATGACTATTATGAGTGGCCATCGCTGGCATATTAATGCCTTTAGTCCCTCGGAAAGGCGTTTAGGGCGGTACACGACTTCACGTGTCGCCGTTGCTTTCCTATGAGCTTCTGTCATCGCTCGTTTAAAGTCGACAACAGCACTGTTTGGTTTAGCGGGAGTTTCGAGTGGTGTCGTAATCGATGGGAGCTCCTGTGAATTTAAAAAAATTGTTTCAATTCGTGTAAGATCGGGAGAATGTTCTCATAGCATCCTTTTCGTCGCCCAAATCCAGCAGTCAGGTATTGATCTAATGACAATTCACTTAGCGGCTTAATTGCCGTAGGAAGGCATATATTTTTTAACATGCCGATATTTAACACGTTCATGGTGCCGTCTTCTCCGCCGTGTGTGTTGGCAACCTTGATTCTAGGACTCCCAACCCGCGTTCTATAGCGTAAACCTCAAGAATCTGGCCGTTCCGAATTGCAACCCGGCTGTTTACGCAGAATGTTTATCTCCGCGTAGTAGAATGACAGGAAAATCCATGCACTTAAAGAGCGTCAAAGTCGAACGACGTGAGTGGTTGGCTAGGCGGTAAGACTGATCATAGTCGTGGGCCCCCGTCTAGCCAGATTAGGGGTAATTTTGCAGAGCTGACAATGCCATCAAAGGGTGTTGAATGCTTCGTTTGAACAGGATAGTTAATCCTCCACCACAGTGTACAACTACTACCGGCGCTACGTCGCAAGTTACAGAATTTAAATGATACACTTGGGGAGAGCTGTTTTGCTGACGACAGATATCTATTCTTTCGCGTTGGATTGACTCCTGCAATTCGTCTTTTAAGCGATTGGAATATATAAGTCATTGCTAACAAATTCTAAGCCTTCCACGACCTTCGTCGTCAAAATAGCTAACAACTTCCTCAAAGTCGGTTGCGATCGCTGCTTTTGTTGTTGAGTAAATGAGTCTGCTTTGTCAATAAGAGTAAGATTATTAGCAGGGCGCGCTTGGAGCTGTCTCGCTTTAAAGCGTGAAGAGCATAGAATATAGATGGGGTAACGGTAGCTTCCGAAGTAATAATTGAATGTCGCGCAGATTGGACGAGTAGTTGGCGGTATGTGCCTCGTCGGGTTTTGCAAATCTAGCAGGCGAGTCTCGTGCTGTGGTAAACTCTGCAGTTAATGAGCCCGTTTAAAATTTCCCTTAAGCTTTTAGGCTCTTTTAAAAATACACACGCCCTCTAGGGGTTAGGCTCCCAATAAACTATTCTTTAGACAGTTACTATCAACACTTTGTTCGGCCCTATAAACCAAAACAATATATTAAACTTACTCTTTAGATAATAAAGCTAAAACTTCCTTACAGCCCTATAATCTGAAAAGATGCCACAAAAACGAAAAATCAAAATATTGTTTTATTAAAATGTGTATATATAAACAAATTTAAAATAATCTTGATAGATTTAATCTACCAGTTAAAATTAATATAAATGCAAAGAGCATACCCTCAGTTGTAGGGAATCTACCCTTTTTTCCCCTAACTGCACACTGAAATTGAATCATATAATCAACAAACCCTCACCGCACTTGGCGCACCGAGGTGACGCAGCGCAAGAGCTTACCGCGTGGCCAAAGACCTGGCAGCGGTGACACTGACCAGCGCGCTTGCTTTTTCGAAGTTCTTCTATTTTGATTTGCGGATGGAAAACAGTCTTCATCTTTAATAACTTTTTTTGTTCAATACTTAGTATATGCACCAGCGCTAATGTTAACGGCGCTTCTTCTTCTCACTATTGATAGTGTCCTCCGTGTGCATGCGTGCCACTCGAAAGGGTCTGATGCCTTTGCGCACGCAGTCCCGCTTCCGGTAGACATGTCGAGTTCACAATAATTTTCACAAATAACAATTTTAAATGACTTGTCTTCAGGTCAGACATAGGTAACATACTTTAATTTTTGCTCATACATTATCTCTGTGAAAGCGAGGAATTCTTCACCAGTTATTGGAAGTACTTTAACACCAAGGCGCTAGTTTCTTGACCTCAGGACCTTGGTGGATTGCATAAGTCGTACTAGAAGGGGAGAAATTTTTTTTTTTCACTAAGGATAATAGGTGTAGTTATTACTTTAAGAGTTTCCAGGGGGATTACCGCAGTATATGGTCGTTCACTAATAATAAGGGCAATGTCAGAAGAAGCTGCCCATCTTTATGTCAACGGTGTCGTGTAAAGCTCTTGAGGGTTTCTCTGAGCCTCTGATGACTTTTAAATTGCCGTTAGGATAAAACCTATAAGTATTATTATTACCACAAATAATTTTCTTATTATTTCGGTATATATTATTTTTACTATTACTGTTGTTGCTAATAGTTATATTATTATTTATGACGCTATTATGGGAAATATTAGTCGTAAGTTAATGCTACTACTATTATTCTTAACATTAGCTATTCTAACGTAACCACACTCGTTTCTTGTAACCTTTAGAGCCGCTATCTTTTAGTATCTCTATAAAAGCATCTGATTAATCTAAAATTTATAAGGCCAAAAATACATTATTGTTAGTTAAACTATCAAAAGACTCCCTTCGCCTTTTAAACTTACTTTTGTCCTGAGTGATTATAGTAACTTAAAGAAGTTTTGCCTTGTAAAATCTAACTACTAATAAATTAAATAACGAAGTATTACTAAAGAGGTCGATCCCATCAGTTTCCTCTCTTTTTATTTAGTAAAAAATTTCGGTACTGTCCTCCAATAAAGTTCGAGATCTTAGCCAATGAGCTTTCTTGTTTTTGTAATTATTTTAATTAAATTTTCTTTTTTTGAGTTAATTTTCTCCTGACTAGCTGTGGCCATTCCATATTTGGCAATTTTTATTTTTTATTTTCATGTTTAGTCTCGACTTAAATTTTTATTTTGTCAAACTCTTTCTAATTCTTCATTTTAGCAAAGATAACCAATAACTGTTAATAACTCTTCTTCAGAGAGAGATTCATAATTAATAGTAAGATAAATGTAAATTTTAAAAGAAATAAAAAATGAAAGGAAAAAATGAAAATTAAATATATATAAGGCCTGTAATATAAAGTGAGTAGTTATAATTTACGTAAGTTTAATCTTTCTAATATGTATAAGTATATTTTAAATAAAGCGCTGTTAATGAGTTAGATATTTATCGCAAATACTAAGTAAGAAGCTGAGATAAACGGACCGCAGTCACAACGACATGGACTGCAGGAAGAAAAAAATGTTTGATTTTCTTCTCCAGGATTATGTGGTTAAAACCTTTTTTAAGAGACTTGAAGCAAATTTATAATTTGCTGTAACAATTAGTATATTTAATCGCTAACCCTCTATATTTAGCTTATTACTTTTGTTAGATAAATAATCTTATTACTATTGGCGGACCCTTCACAATTCAAAAATCTTGCTAACTTATAGGCCTCAACTGAACAATCGTCTCCCTCGTGAATTGCGACTGAAAATCTCATAAACCTTCATAAAAACCATAATCATCCAGACTTATGGAAAGATAAGTTGGGTGTGAAAGATGTCCAAAAGACAAAAACAGAAAGACGATATTTAATTGGGTTGAATATAGGACTCCAAGCTGCGGTAGCTCTTCCGTTAGTAATTGGGTGGGTCATACTCCATAAATTTAAACCAATAGTTATTGTTTCAATATGCTCTGTAGTTTATATTTGGAATTGTTTTTACTTACACAGCGTTAGCTTATTATCTTTTAGTTTGCTCTATTATAAAAATAACACGCAGTGACAATTTTGTATGCGCCCTATATAACATTAAAAATTTATATCTACAAACATTTTTTGTATTTTAATTTTTAATGTATGCATTCATAAGAATTCCTAAATTAACAAAAATTAGATTTAAAAAGGTTCATGCCAATTTGTTTTAAAATAAAACATTTTTACATGTGGAATTTATCATATCCCCCACACCCAGTTACGTTTTAAAAAATTCATGTCACTTCTCATGTTTATCATCTAAGATGTGCATTAGAATTAGACTCTAAACTAATTAGGTCCTCTGTAACTAATAATGCAAAAAATTTTAGTTAAAAAAAGGATAAATTATGATTTTCTTAGCTTACTACATAATTATTTGCGTTAAGACTCTTATAATGCCAGTACCTCCCTATGCCTACTCTACGAGTATCTTTTTTGTGCTAATATGCACAAGTTAAAAGAATACTCGGTTAAGCATAACTTTACTTTAATTAATAAGCCTTTATGTATTAAAAAAATGAAAAATTATTTATTTGATTCCCTTCTCTATTAATTCTTATATATATTATTTTAAATGGGTTAAAAATTTTTTTAGTATAGACGTCTAGAATAATTTTAGAGGACTGTATTTACAAGTATCTTAATATAACAAGCCTTTAACCTTTTAACTACAAAAAAACCCATTCAAAATTAAGTAATATTTAATGAAATTTTCACCTTTCCTTTATATACAAAAAAGCAGCGAGACAGTTTTACCTAAAAAAAATATATAGTTTTTTTAAGGGGATGGTAGCACACAGATAAACACAGCACTTAGTTTTGTTTTCTGTAAATTACAATTGTTATACTTTTTTTAGGCTTACATATGTAAGTAATATGCTAAGTCAGTTAAATAATAATATAAATTATTATTTATTATAATATTTGATAAAAAATCGACTTCAACATAAATTCTTGAACAGAAGATCAGTTTTATAGAGAATTTCCAATTAATAAGAGTAACACAAGTTTTGTTTCATTGAAAAACTAGAGAATTAAAGATGTAATAAAAGATAATCGACGTGTTGAAATAAATATAATTAAAAATCATGAAATAATCATACTTTCTAATAAAACTTTAACTATTATAAACATAGAGGAATTAAAAATTTACACTGACTAATTTACTTCACAGCATTTTTACTGTAATTTACGTCTTAAAGAAAAAGTTTAGCAGCTTTGAAACATGGTGACAGCTATATATTTATAAAAAAGTATTATAATATAATTTTTTCCTATTTTCTATATTAACTCATTTCTCTATATACGTAGTTAAATTTTAAAATAAAAACAGGAATTTATCTGCTTATCCCTCACTGATGACGCCAAGGGGGGTATCTAAGTAAAACCCTCTAGTCTAGCGTTAATTTCGAGTCGGGTTCTGTCCCTGCTGGCGAGTTGTGCTTTGTAGCAGAGGACTTATGGTATCACCAAACGGACTAAAAACTTCCAATTTCTTCAAGCGGACAATTTTCTTTAGCTATAAAAAAATTGGGCCATATTCGTCATGGCAGCCGACAGAGGATGACCAAAGTCATATTTTTTTATTTTAAAAAATTGCTAATGTTAAAATAATATTAAACTTTTAAAGTGGTCATTTGTGCTTTGCTGTTAATATATATTTTTAAGTTCTTAAAAGTATTTTAAAAACCTTTTTTTCATTACGCTCTTATTCAAATATATGTATTTGGCCTTGGGCATGCTTGTTTTACCTGAACAATTCCCTGATGTCTACAATAACTTAAAAAAAGGTTAGGAATGAAGAACCTGTTATTCAACACAATTGTAAATGTATAAGTTACTTATAGTTTTATATTACATTTTTTTTATTATACTTTTAAGTTTTTAACTTTATAGCTTGATGTAAGCACCTCTTTTATTTCAGTCTTTAATATTAAGGTTTAGTCTCTTAAAACATAGTTACTAAAGGACTTTATATTCGAAACAAAATAAATTTGTATTTAAAACTTTTTACAATTATTAACACTTATTATACTAAGCTTATTTAACGACTTATTTATAGAAGCTTTGAAGTTTCATCCCAACCCTTCTATCTTGATATTTGTAGCGGCTGATGCCGATGCCGTGTGCAGTTGCCGAATTTTAACCGTATTAAATAAAATAGTTGTTTAATCTGAATCTTTGCCTAAATTATATTATTATTCTTGTTAGACCCTTCTCTGCTCTGATTTTATTCCATTCGAATTGGCACCTGTAACTGGTTATCACGACATCATCGATTGTTCGAAAACTCTTCTTGTTGAAAGTGATCGGGTTAGAATTAAATTTAAACACTAAAAGTTTAACCAGAAAAACCTGTGAGATGCCTTCCTTTTTAACTATTAAGCTTGCAGGGTTACCTTACTATAAACATTTAAGACGTGATTTGCGGTTATACTGAATATTATTTGTACAACTAGTATGTTTTATGCTTATTAGTAGAAGAGTGTTTTGTTAAGTAAGTATTATAATATAAAACTACGAAATTTGCGGTAAAGTATTGTTTAGACGAGTTACCTGTTATTATTTTTCTAATATTTATATTCTTATATTATTCTATACTGATAATATTTAGTTTTTTATTAATAAATTAACCACTTTAGTTTATAGCTGTAGTCATGATCAATTGCGGAGCTAATATGAGAATTTATGAAGAAATGAAAAGAATTGGCGTTGATGTTGATAATTTTTGTTTTTATCTCATCGATAGTCATCGTCCTCTCGCTCTTACTAATGTGTACAGCCATCACTTCCAAGTAAATTTAGCTTACTTACTTTACTCTTTTTTTTCAACATCTTTTACTTTGTATTATATACAGTTATTTATATATATTTTTTATTTTATAATTTGTTGGATTACACCTTTTTGATTTAATTTTTCCGAAGGTTAAAAGTTTTAAATTTTTTCTTAAATATTAATGTTTTGTTATTTTTTGTCTCAAATATCATATTTAGATTTTATTAAAATTTTAGAGTTTATTATGTATGTAATCTTATTAGTAGTATTTTACTAACTGAAAAATAAGTATAACTTAAATTTCTAGTATTAGGCCGTAATCTGCCCTATTTCAACTTTATGAGCGTTATTTATTTTATTATATATTTATATATGACGACAGGAAGATAATGTAGTTGTCTTTGCCACTGAGCAACTTTTAAATGATGAGAAGTTTCCCTCCTTGGAAGATTATGAAGCATATTTAAAGGTATTGCTATTTGGTTTTTCTACTGAACTTGCATGATTTTTGCTTTTTTTTTGTTTTGGGCATCAAGAGCCAAGAGTTGGATGCTTCTGACGAATCAACCACTGAAAACGAATTAACTGACACAGAAGAAGCTGGTTCAACCAATCAAAGCGAGTATGAAGACATCAACCCTTTACCCGTTGGCAGCAGTAGCTCTCATTTAATGCATGAAAATAGTGAAACTTCTAATAAAAGAAGAAAGGGATTAAGTGATTCGGTTACAGTTACTATAATTTTTTTATGTCCATCTCTCTTATTTGTTACTTTTTTTTCTTAGTCACTATTTTAATCTAATGCACAACTAGAAATTGGACCATAAAAGGCATAAGCAAGAAAGTAAAAGGCGTTCTACTCAGAAGACTTTGGAATATCTTACAGGTTGTTGTATGTCCGTTAAGTGGTCACTACCATTGACTCAGTCTCTTACTCTATTTGAGCTCTTTATATGACTTCGTTATTATATTGCCTTTCGGCATCACTGCTTTTGTCTCCTTGTAGCTTTGTACCGCTGTGACTTTTTCTATATTTTGTCAGAATCCTACTACGGCGTGGCTTCCAGTTTCCTAATGTACAACTTAGCCTTGTCTTTAAACAAAGAAAACAACTCGCTTCTCTGGTTGGCCCTCCTTTCCATGTTTCTGCTTTTCCTATTTTACAATTGTTCCTCGGCATTATACGCTTAAGAACTCTATATAACTTTCCTTATTGTTTTCATATTAGTTATAGTTTTTTATTTAAATCCGTTATAGTTTGATTGTTTATTTACAATTTCTTGTATCTATAATTATATAATATTTCCATATTCTAAGAGAGAAATTAGCAAGTCTCAAAATTTTTTTTTGTAAGTTCACTATATTACGCTTACTCGGATCTTATCTTTTTCAAAAACTTAATGCAGATATAGAGGAGTCATATTAGCTAAATTAAGTTCGGGTTTTCGGGTAGGTGACTGCCCCGTGTGGAGTTTCCAGCATAGAGATTGGAGGTTGTAGTGCAATTATGCTATCACTTTTGGAAACTATTAAGTGAAAGCAGAGTAAATATAACTGAATAGAGTTTAGCCATAACCTTACGTGTTACTTCCAATCGTAGTTGTTGGTTAGAGACACCAGCGAGAGGCTCGGGCTACCAAGGCCTTGCGGGAGAGCCCTTATTCTTTTTTAGTTTGTTGAACTCTCTTTTGGTCAACTCTACTTGGCCTTAAGATTAATAAATGTTTCCATGTCGGTAGACTTGTGTTGTATGACTTTGTAAGTACTCTCCGTTAGGCTCGGCATCATTGGGTTGAGCGAGCAGCGCATATTTGATTATATTGATAGCGAAACGTATCAAGCAACTCTTGCAACTTTGCGCCAGGAAGTATCTCGGTAGTACTGTGTCGTTACAGGGCCCCTCATCGATAATGCTCTCTTATACACAGTATGAACGCTGATGATGCTTTAGTGGGGGCCTGTAGAAATAATATAGAAGAAGGTAAGGCCATTCTATTAAAGTAATGTAAATATGGTTGCTTTGTAATGTAATTTTTTCATTATTACTTTTCATCATCTTTATGCCTCTTTTTCGAGGGAGTTTCATTAAATTCGAGGAAGAACTTCCTTTTGTTGTTGTCCGTCATTGGACGCTTTACGACAGTATGGTCCACTCGCGCTACATTGCTACTCGACTGAGTTAAATATGTGTTCCTTTTGCGTTAGCATTCACTTCGATAAACTAATATCACTTTTCTGATTAAGTTAGTAATATAGTGAATGTAGATCGGTTTACTATAATTCATAACTTGTCAGTCAGCAGTCGTGCTTCCTTGCCCTGCCGGCTAAACTTTTATCTTTCTAGACACGTGGAAGGAAAGTGGGATTGCCAGACTTAATACCTTATTGGTTAAAATGGGGCTCTCCTTGAAACAGTGCAAGCAGAAGTACCAAATTCTCGTTTTTCTTATACTTTTCTTCTGTTGTAGGTGTAATGTTCTTTATATATCTTTTGTTGTAGCTCTTCGAAGTGCAGCAAGCTTTGTACTATAATTCCATCCATTTAAACCATTATTTTTTAAAATAGTTTTTATACTCCACAGATATTCGACGATGCACCCATTGCTCAAATCCCGTCTAAAAAAAATGGTAAGGCTTTGAATGTATGTTCAATACTGTTTATATTTTACTTATTTTATTTTTATAGTGTTGTTTTAGCATTCATAATCTAAAAAATTTCTATAGTTTGAGACGTCCTAAGTTTTGACACTTTTGTACACATTTATCTTCTAATGCTGTCTTGAGTAGCATTAAAAAGGCGAGCAAGTTTAATGAGTTTATATATTCAGCTGAAGGAATACGGCGCCACTTTTCACTTGCACGATCCCCTTTTTCCTTCGTTTTACCGCCTCTTGCCGCATCAGGGGTCCATGTCAGCTAGCGACTTTGTATATTCCATCAACGCGTTGTTGACGGCCCCGTGCATCGGAAAAGGTTTGGTCATTCTTCCTTCCGTGTCTGTTTTCATAATTAGCTGATTTGTCCATTCTCAAGGAGACTCTCTCGTTTTTACTCGCGATTGGATAAGAGTAAATTTTTTTAGGGCTTATGATTCGCTTTCAGAGTATTTTATTATCGAGTTTTATTAGCTTTATCGTACTAAGATATATTTTAGAAAGAAACCAGAACTTATTCTGGAAGGGCTAAAACTGGCCATTGAGCAACACCGTTTCATAGTCTACAGCTTTTTGTTATAATACCTGCTTTTTTGCTAATATATTAAATGCAAGTTATCTCAAGTTTCCGCCATATTGGAGCAGCGCGTCGTTTTTCAAACGCGTCCGCTTCGTCATGCGTATATTTCTACTTGCCATCCAATGCTCTCGTCTCCTTTGATTCTCACTACCATTGCGCTTTTTCTATTGGACATTTATAGGGTAACCCTTACCTATTTCGATAAGCAAAACTCTCACAGTTTTTTATAAGGCAGGTGCAAAGCTTACAAAGTGATTCTTTATAAATTAGTCATAACTTCGTTCTGTTTTCCTTGTACTTTTGAATGAGTGTTAGATTACTAAATAATAATATAGCAGTAGAGTTATAAAAATTGAGTTGCTAAAAATATTTCTTGTTTGCTTTACTAAATTCTGTGAATGCGCAAAGTATACTGTTATCTTAAAGAAGTTAATTGAGAATTATAAATACTATTAAAACGTTATAATAGGAAGCAGGCCTTCCTATTAAACCATTTATTGTTTGGGCTGCGCAAGTAAACTCTGACACTGCTTTGGTGGTGGGTGTGGCGGGAATGAACAAGCACGGCGACCTTGAAAAGAAGTAATTGGAGTCTAAATTTTTCCAAAAAAGTTAGAGTTTTGACCTTTTTTTATAAAAAGCACTTTCGGCCAGGTTTTTGAGAGGGCCGCCCAGGAAACGAAAAGTTCATATATTTCTCTTCTTTGTTATACTTTTTTAAATTGTGCCGTTCCTTGCAGGCACTTTTCGACACGACAACTTCAACACTTCGGTGATAGAAGTGAAAACAAGTAAAATGAGCTTCTTCTTAAACACACTTGTTAGCCTTTACGACTGATTTTTTCGCTTGAGTGGTGCTTCCCATTACTGTTCTTCGAGTTCGAGTCTGACTTTTACTTGAAAACTACACAAGGTTTTTTATGCTGTTTGCTTGTGTTTTTACAGCTTCAATAAAGTTATTCGCTTAAATGTTTTAAAAGGGTGTAGTCTATCAACTATACATTAGTTTAATAAGTATAACACGCGTAGTTTCTTAGATAATATTATAGTTAACTATAATGCAATTGGAGTATAGTGAAGCACAAATTTTTGAAGTAAAAATGCGCCTTCTTCACAGGCATGAATGCTTCTGTTGACGCCTTTTTATCATTATCTATACTTTAAAAAACCATTGTAAGGGCGTTTAAAGCCTGCGCACCTTTTATTTGTTCCGGACAGCTATGCAATCTTATGACCAAGAACATCATATCACGTTACTAATAGCTACGTTTATAGGGCCCCTTATAATCAAATAAATGCAACCATGAACCTTTATTAACCCCATAGAGGTTGTTGGTTACTATGTTTACCACTTGTCGCCAGGTTCAACTTTGATATAGGAAGTGATTTCGCCGAAAAAACAAATTTATTTTATGACCCAGAGTTTTGACCGTTAGAAGGTTAAAAGGCTGCTTATCTCGCGACATAAAGAATAATCGGGGAGAAGCATGCCTGACTGTCAGCATATTAATTGCCTGTAACTGTCTTTTTGTGGTGTTCTTCTCGGTTTTAAAATCATCTCAGACCAAACGGCGGCACTCGAGGTCGATGTTTTAACGCCCTTCACTCGTTCCGGGACTGCTTGCCCTTGTACTCTATCAGGAGAAAAACACCTGGGGGCATTTGGGCTAACCCATACAAGTGGGGATACTGTAAATAAGTTAACCCATAACTAAAAAGAGGCTAGCGGAACTGTAATGCCAAATTAGCAGCAATAAACTTATAACTACATATGTAATTTTCATTATCCAGGCTTACTACTCTTAAATAGGATTTTAAGAGTTTTATTTAATTTACAAAGTTCAAAATTCTTCCTCGTCTTTTTTATTACAGCAATTAACTTATACAACCAAACAACAGAAACTAGTAATAATCTCTTCCATTAGGAAGTAACTTTGACAAAGGGAAGGAAAAGATAAAAAGTGCAGTTAGCATGCAAAGACACGCGCAAATGGCAGTAGTAAGCACAAATGGAAAATGCAACCAAAGCTGCCTAGTACTTCCGTTTTCAGCCCAACCTGGAGTTACTAGCTAAGTTCCTGTGCCGAAAGACATGCTCTAAATATGAAAAAGCCGAGTGTAATTATGTTACCTAGATAAAGTTCAACTAAATTAGTACCACCATTGCGAGAAAGTAATAAGCGTAGTTTACTCTACTATTTTCAAAGCTTCAATACCGGTCACTGAAGCTATACGAGCCTAGTCAGTGAACACAAAGGAGCCTTAGATTTAGTTCCTTCTCGCTCGTGTGTACTAGTAAAATTAATTGTACTTTAAGTCAAATTCAGACTCTTGTTACAAAAGTTAAGATAAAAAGTAAAACTATCAACTAAAAGCCAATTAAAGAAGCAACTTGCTAATAAAGTTCTACAGTAAAATTATTAACTAACAATCTAAAAAGGCTAATACTTAATTTAGCTTCAAGAACTAATAAACTAAAGTAGGTATAAATAAAAAACATCGAACTAAAATTTATCTTGGTTTTGCCCTAGTCAAATTCGAGCCGTCTGACCTTCCTACTTTAATTAATAAACTAGTTTTGTCGGGAAGTGGAATGCATGGTGAATGCAGGCTTATCTTACCTTCGATTACGTTTCCCTAAAAGCTAAAATAAAAAAATACTACGTCGATTCTTATTAAAATGCACGTATTTTGGTAACATGCTTATTAACAAAGGAGTTTTAAATTAGTGGAGGGACTATCATCGGTTTGGCTTTCTGTACGCATACCTGTATCTTTTTATCTTTTTGGTTTAGTGCAGGAGCTGCCCAATATACCCACACTCGGGCGCATACTGTCCAAAAGGCACGTCTCTTCGTAGCTGGAATATGCCAATTTCCCTTTTGAAGGGAAAAATAGTGATGACCCAGACGAGTAAGAGTTTAAGGTTAAAAATTATAGTAATACTTAAAATATAGAATTTATTTTTTATTTCTCTTATTATCCTATTTATTAAGTGGAGGATTACTCTCTGGATGGAGAATTATTAGTTAATTAAAAAATACTTCGTATATACTTAGGTGTTGCAGTTGAGTGGTGGTTCATACACTATCGCTCCCATCCAGGGGATATATCTTAGCTAGTTTAAATGCTGAGAGGTCAGTGTGGATTTGGATAAAAGCATCGAACCGTGCGTAGGAGATTAGACATTTTTAATAATTGGAAAACTTCCTATCGGATACTTTTACCTTCGTTTTTTCCTTTTTATGCGTAGAAAGTATGCTAGTCAGTACCATTTATCCTCGCAACCGGAATGACCTAGGCGTTTATATCTACAACATAGTCCTTTTGCTGCTATTGCGTTTCCCTCATCCTTTCAGCTTTTCGCAGGGTTGCTCGTTGCCGAACATGAAGACGTTGGTCCCAGGCAGAATTTTCGTCCCTACAGGTTGCTTATGATCATTTTAGATCTCTGATAAGATAAGGCTATACAGTGGAGGAGGAGATACAACAAGATCAACAATCGAGTCAGGGAGGACTTGAAAGTTTGGTTTATCGGAAGCTGGCAAACAAAATTAGAGTCTTCCTGGCCAGAGCACAATTCCTTACGAAAATTAACAAAAGCCCTTAGATTTACTTAAGTATGGGACACAACACCGTTCTTTCACGTTCAGGACGCTCAATGACGATACACTGAAATAGTAGAGGCATTTGCCGACTCACTGGAATTTCATTTATCTAAGTTAGATCCCGACGAAAATGAAAACCACCTCAAGCATGTGTTCACCATAGTTATTGCTTACCTTCAAAGATCTATTATGAAGAAAGTTAAACTAATCACCACTTTGGAATTAATTATTGGCAAATCCCTTGCTAGAATTTAATACCTTAATATATGATTTCCTACCTCCTTGAGGTGGGCGCCACTTTTTGGCGTGGTGGGAAATAAATCTAACAGATTAAGAGTTCAACTGCTCCTGCTAGAGCCCTCCCCTCCTCCAAGAAAAATTATTACTAATTTTGGACAAATCTTAAAATAATGAATTTATAAATGAATGTAATGGAATAAAGTTAATACGTAATTATTTAATAAAGCAAGGGAGTGTGTTAGGGATTGATACCTTAATGAATGATTTAATGCCCCTTAAGGTGGGTGTCCACTTTTTGGCATGGTAAAAAATCTAACGCCCTTAATACAAGGGGAGCCTTGGGCCCTGACGGTATTTCTAATTTAATACTTAAAAACTTAACTCCACAAGCTCTCCCTCTGATTTCGTAATAAATTAAATCATATACCTCCCACTGCCCAAACGTTGAAAATTAGCTTTATTATTTTTTCTATCGTAAAACTAGGCCCCCAGTCGTTTTTTTAAAGGCTATAGCCTAAGAAGCTTATATTCCCGCCTAGAAAAGATGGCAAAAGCGGTTATTATTTCTAGGTTACAAGAATTTGTTTTTCGAAAAATTACTTCGCATTTCAACAAATACTTAGGCTTACAAAAAAAGTTATAAAAGCTTTAAATAATCGAAAATTAACAGGTGTAGTCTTTTCAGATATTGAGGTCTTTTGATGGAATATGGCACGATGACCTAGTTTTTAAAATGGTTGCCGCCAGTTCCCTTTCAACTTAACCTGCGGTGTACACATTTAAAACCTTTACTGCCAAACTAATTTCGGTGAAGTCCGCTATTAGACCTTTATAGGTGGGTGTCCCACAAGGCTTATATTACTAGCTCCCTACTTTTTTTTTAACTACAAATCTGATATGCCACAATATTGGAATATAAACTCATTCCGGCATCGACTTGTATTAGAGTTCAAATTCCAGCTGGTCGGAGTTCAAAAACGTATAACATTGTATGATGCATAAATTATAAAAGTTAATAAATAACGCCTATAAAAATAGCCTTTCTGATTATCCCCCAGACTCCTAATCTCTCACTGAACCGAATTGCCATTCCTTGAAGTAGGAAGGTTAAATATCGGAGTTTTGCTTGACCACAGACTAAGCTGGACTCAGCATTTTTCTTAGGCCGTCACTGAAAACGGTTTAACTTTAGTCGTTTTATACCCCTAACTATACAGGAGAAGCAAAGTGCATCTAACAAGTGGCTGTTATAGATATCGGTCATTTGCCTGCTGATGGCCATTACCTAGGCCTATTTTTCAAGCAAACATTCTACAAAAATGCGTTCTGAGGGTGGTAGTGGACGCCTTTTGTGCGCAACAGTCAACTACATAGCGAGCATAAGCTCGAGTCTATTAAAGATTATTTTTATAAAATCTCACGGAACTGACCTTCTAGAGCCAGTAGTCACCATGACCTACTACAAGACAGGCTCTTGTTTATGACTCTCGTTGGTGCACCAAGTATTCGCGGTCAAAACATTTCTTAGGTCAATTGTAGGTCTATGCCTAAGATTATTGTTTATTTGTTAACAATTAATTTTTTATAATATAAGGGTATTATAACTTAACTATTCTAACACATGTAATATTGTTGTTTTATTTTATTTATTTATTAAACTTCAGTAAGTAAGACCTTAGACTATATAGTTGTTGACTCAGGCTACTGAATAGGCTGGCTACTTAACGGGTAGGCTAGGGACGTGTTCTGTCACGGACCTAGGGCGGTCTGGTCGAATTGTGATCATTCGTTGAGTTTAGTACGTTCTTCGTGCAAGCAAGGTTGGCGACTTTTTGACTTAATTTAGACCCTAGATGCATGTCGTAAAGTGTCCGAAAAAGATCGGACCTATCTATGAGCGGTTGCTGTGTACGTTATTCCTTGAGTCTCATGGTACGTGTTTGCCACAGAATTAAGACGATTGGTTGCCATCCACGGATGGAATGCCCTACATGTGTACAAGCGTTGAAGCATCGTAGTGGTTAGTAACCCTCTATGATGATTGGGCCCTTTGAGCTTAAGCGAGGTGTCGAGTACCCGAACCTCATTGGATTCTTTACCAAACAATTGTCATGAATATGGTTGCCCTGCTTTGTGGATACAAATCGAGGTATGTAATAATATTATTATTTGCAATTACGTCTTCATTGATATATACCGTTTAGCTGTGATGGTAAAGCACATCCGTTCTGTTTTGATGGCGTCACGGTTTGTTAAAAAAGTCGAAGCTTCCGCACCTTCAAATAATAGAGAGAAAGTAGTTAAAGAGCAATTAACTATGAATTACGCCTAAAGTAAGCCAGTACTATAAAGAAAGAAGCTTAACAAACTTTTTGTTCTTAATCACGTAGTTGTGCGGATTCCCCGCTTCTTGAGCTTAATAAAGTTGCTGGGCACTGAAATTAATAATATATAGTATATTGTTGCTGTACTAAATAATTATACTTTTTTTCCACAAAATATAATTTCATTAAGATACTTAGCGCGCTTATTTAATACATACTGAATTACGGCAAAGTCGACCTGGAAAAATTTTGTATTCATTAGAACTGTAGCTAGAAAGCAAAGACGTTTAGTCTAGAAAGAAATGACCGCAATTTATTAAAAAAGTTTAACAACGATATACTGTAAATTACTAGAGAAGGAAGCCGCAGGGGAATCTTGTATGCTCTTAAGTACAAGTTTTCATAGGACTCAAACACAGAACAGAGGTATTTCTAATGAACAGCTTCATCCACTTGCAAAGTCAATAAGGGTTAAAAGCCCCAAAAGGAAAACTTTTACTGTAGTTATAGTATTAAAACAATAGCTATAGAGTCTTAGTCTAGTTTGTAGTCAACTTAAAAACTTTGTTTGTTAGCTTAAGTTAAATACAGACTTTAATATAATTTTGACTATTATGAGCTGTATCTGGAAAGGTACCATAATCATAATCTAATTCTCAGGAAGGTACTATAATAACCAAACGTAACTCTGTACCCTCCTCCGCCTGAACAATGAACAAATCTGATAAGTGAGAAGATATCGTCCTCTAACAATGTAAAACAGAAAGTCAGCTAAACTTCCTCTAAACTTTTAGCTAGCACCTTTGCTCTGTTTCCGGAGCCGCTGGTGCAATCGAACATTTGGCTGACTGCTTGGTTGTACGTGTTAGTAAACATACTCATTCGAGTCAGATTAGTAATGAAACGTATTAAGGACCAAATCTTCGGCAAGTTAAAAAGTAAGCAAAATTTTTTAAATACTCGTTATATGATGTTTATTGAAGTTAACGGATATAACAAAAAAATTAATAAACAAGAAGAAAAATAATTGAATGAGAAGTAATAATATAGTTATTTATTCTATACTTACTACATTCTAAATAAACTCCTAAAATTTTATTAACGCTTAATTGAGTCTCTCCATGCTTTTATTTTGGTTTTTTCACCCTAAAAATCCATGAATCATGAAACAACGCCCATTGGAATTTTTAACCCCTTCCGACCTAACACGTCGATAAACATCCTTTATATTAACTCTCTCTCGACAAGAAGAGAGTTATAACTTGTAATTTTGAGGATAGAACGCAAATTTATTAGGGCTTTTATTATATGTATTAATTCAATGGGAAAGTCCCCACTTATTTCATCCGTGTCCCATTCCACCTCGCCCTTAGGTTGTGATCAACAGAGGCTCATTACTAAGTCCAGCAACGTTGCCCCTTTGTCAGTTACCTCTCTTTCAGTAGAGGCAAATATCCAACCGAGTCAATGGCTTCCTTAAAAGTTAGGAGCGAGCCGTGCAACTAGGTCGGATTTAAGTTAATACTACGATAATTTGCCTCATAGGGAAACCGTAGTTGGTGTCCTTACCTTCCGCAAATAATGAGTTTAAGTCGTAAAACATGAGCCTGCATCAACATGAAACAGGGTTTCTAATAAAACAAACAAACCAAAATCTTTTTCGCCTTCAAAGTTATTATAACCCCAAACATTCTTTAAACGTTGTCGTATAGTCTACTTTTAGCACCTTTGCCGGTAAGTAGCCCTATTTATATAGGTTTACTTTTAATGCAAGCTTTAAGTAAAAACTGTTTCACACTGAAAAAAAAAGCTGATAAAAAAAATAATCGCTACCAAACAATCTTTAACCTCCCTTTTTACTTCTTACACGTTAAACTTAAAGATAAACTTTTTGTTTGTTAAATTTAAGATTTCTATATAATCGTTGGCAACCACTTATCTAGCTTATCTTAATTAAGTTTTCCGTCATATTTGCTAGAGCTCTTAATGTGTTTATTTCGCCCAACTCTCAACTTTGTTATTTTCTGCTGTAATAATATAAACTGGGATCACTCCTTGTTTTGAGAAAGGTGTGTACAATAGAGTGGAACTGCTTTGATATTAAAATGCCAACTAGATCCACCTTTTATTCGATATTATCTCGATAAGATCTCTATAACCGAATAAATGAAAAAAATAAATTCCAAAAGTTGATATAAGCTAAGAGAAACGTATTCTAAGCTGTTTATGACCACTTCACCAAGATGTGTCTTATAGCAGTAGTAGCTCGCCTTTCTCACCCTTTTTTTAAATTCTTAAAGCCCAGGGCCTGCAAGGTAGAAAACGTTGAACTCAATTAAGAATCACTAGCTCTATTATTCCTTTAGAACAAGGAAGGACAGTCTCTAGTTTTTTTTTGCTCCTGCAACACTAAAAATTAACTTTTGGCGAGACTAAAACCCTTAACCGATCTCCATAAGTAAGTTTCTGAAAAAGTGAAATAGGGGGTAAAATAATTCACTAACAAAAACAGCTAATGGGTACTTAAGCCTATTTTCTAAAACGGTTTCGTCCAATAAAAAATTTTTTTTAACCCTTATTCCAAATAACTATAAAAGCGTTCATCTTTAAAGCTTTAAAACACTTAAAAGTAATGTACAGTTCACTTTCCTCATAAGCTTAATTTAGTGCTTGCCATAATATGTTTCTTGCTGTTAAAGCTCTGAAGGTAAAAGAAAGTCCCCAACAACTTGCCTCTTAAAATTGTTTTAAAGGGGCCGGAGCACTTCTCAGATAATCCCATTTTTCTTTACTTTCATAGCTAACCGTTAAATTACTAAAGGTCAGTTTTTAAAGTTCCCGCCTTCATTTAGCTTAGATTTGATTTCGCAGAGCCTGAAAAAAGGGCATAATCCTCAAAACTTAACTTGTCAACCTTGCCGTGAACCGAAATATATTTATGGAAACCGTATCAGCGTACAAAGTGAAAGAAGACGATGCCAAATCTTTAACATTGAAGAATTTTTTACCGAAAAACACTTCTTCAGATATATCACTATCTTACATTTTATAAGCCATACAGTCATATTATAAAAGTTTAACCTTAAGTAAGTTAGCAATACCAAAAGCTTCCGGAATACTAACATTATTTAAGTAGTCATTTCGCTTTACTAAATTAGCCATTTTAATATAAAAGATGCCTGATTTCCATCTTCACATATAAATATTCTCTTCTATGAAAGACTTCGTTGCGTGTATATGCATCTTACTTAAGTGCTTTAAGATTGACAAAGTAGTACTATACGCATAGTAGAATTGAAAGCTAATAAAGTTAAAAATAGATAAAGAATAATGTCCATCAACGAGCGAGGCTTCTAGGATATTCGCCTTATATAAATTGTTTTGTTTTCAAAATTTTTGACTCTATTCTCTTTTAAAAAGTTTATGTCCAATAATTCTTAATACCTTTGATAAACAAAACAAAGATTTGCAGGTGAGGAAAGCAGAAGTACATTAAAAGATGTCATAGTAACCTTAAATAAAAGTTTCAATTGCTTATTTAAGTTTTAGTTAATTGAATCCTTGACTTTAAGAAATTTAATGTTTCCTTTGGACACGCTTGTTATTATGCTGAAATTTTTTTTTAGCACGCACTCAATATTTTTATGATAACTTTATTTATCGAACTTACTTTAATAAGAGAAAAAGTGTTTTTATCGAAATTATCACTTTATTATCATTTTGTATTAAAATAACTAAGACAATAAAATTTACTTGTAATAGAATAAACAAATTAAGTTAATTATTATAATTAATTCAATGCGCTAAAACAAACAATTGACATTAGCTCTAATAGTAATATATATCTACTGTTATTAATAGTAGTAAAAGAATTGTTGGTAAGTCGAAAAAAATTTATGACGAAGCACACAAACTAGCAAGAAGAAAACCGTTGTTAAGCTGCTAAGTCACTTTTTATGATAACTGCATCTAGCCTACTACGCAACACACTACGGTTTTTTTCGAGTACATTTTTTTTTAGTTTTACTTGCCAAGTTAATAAATGTGATGTAAACCAAGTTAATCAGAGTTAAGTAATCTAATTAAGCGTATTTTTTAACATATTCCGCCGATCAACATTCGAAACCTAACCCAAAGTGCACCTGGAAAAAACCCTATTATATATAAAAATTGTTTAAATAGGATTAAACGATGAAGGAGAGCTTTGTAAGTTCCTGTAGCTAAGTGCATTTTAATGTAATTAGAAAGTTATCAGATTAAAGTTTGACCCGTGAATTAACAGATTATAATGAAGCTTCCTTTTCACTGAACTCGTTATTGAGTATTTTAAAGTTACTAGCGAAGAAATTTTAAACAAGGTAACTTATTAAACAAAACATAGAATATCTATTTATCGAGTATTTTTTTTAGTATATATATAACTAAAAATTAATTTTGTATATAAGAAAAAGAATAAAAGTTTCTATATTTTATCTAATTGTATATTCCGAGGAAGTCACCATTATATATATATATAAGTTTTATACAAATTTGTCAAGATACTTGAAAACAAAACTCAAAAAGAGTGTTAAAATAGATTAGAGCTGGTGAAAGGTGCGTTGATTGCACGGTTTTTTCAGGCAAAAGAGTATATTATATTATGTTTAAAACAATTGTTAAAAAGTTTACTTAAAACTTTTACCTAGACCAGTATATTATAAATTTAAATAATGCCTCCAGAAGGATAAGGCTAATACATTTTAAAAACAAATATTAAAGCATTATCTCTTTTTAATCCTAATGTTATAATATTGTGCAGAAGTAACTATTCTGCGAGTGTTATAGGAGCTTAAAGAGCTTTAACTTATTATATACTAAGTCACCCCGCTGTGAGAGAATAAGAGAAGAAACAAGATTGAGGTACGGGGAATATGGCTCTAAAGTTGTTTAAACGAAGAATATTTAGTAAGAAGTATCAATACCAAACTCCAAGAGAGTTGGGGGGTTAATACATAAAAAGAGGTTGTGCACTTACGCCCTAATTATTTAGATGTAATGATTTATGGATACAAAGAACCCCTTTATACACTAGAACCTCTACCTCGCCTTAAATGTAGTAATCGACCAATTTGTTGCCCCGTAAAGGAAGGGTATTTAGATTTACAGGAGAAAATAAAAGTAGTAATCGAAAATGTGGGGAAAAAAATGCGCGATAGGGAGGACCTAGTCGCGTGGTTCAATCATGCAGTATGATGACACATGAAAAAAAGTGCCAGGTGCTACGAGCACGTGACTTGTCAGAGTTAACTCTCACAGACTGTGTTTGCATGTAGCATTTACATAGATAAATAAAACGATTATTATTCTTCGAGTGACATCTTAACTATCATGTTTAGAAGAGCAAGTAACATAGTACACTGCTCTAATGGCATTTCTCTTAGCATTACATATGGTAATAATGCTTCCAGCAAGGCTCCACTAATAGGCGGTACGAAGGCGGTGGACTCCACAGAAATCAGTTCTGCCTCATTCCTGTATTTTTGTTATGCTACAAATAAAGCTTTAGAAATACGGTGCTAAGGCTCAATGAAAATAATCAATAACATAAAGTGTAAAACAAGCTAAAAAAGTGGTAACCCAAATTAAAGTTATAAAGAAGCCAATTGTAGTTCTTGTATTAACAGGTTAGGAAATATCTACAAATGGCACAACTTTCCAGGTTTTAGGGAGTTAACTTTATCGATTTCGCATAGGCTTGGGCAAACTATAATTATATTTTTACTACAAAGTCAATCCATCAAGTGGGCTTCACATCAAAATGGCGACGCCCTTCATATAAGACAAAGACACTAAGCCCGAAGGCGATTATAACCAGCCAGCTCTTCCACTGTAGAAGATGCTTTAGTTTGCTATAAAGCCTGTTATTGAAGTGAAGTTTTTCAGTGATACTTAATAAAGCCCTCCGTTTATTCAGCTCCGTATCCTCCAGTTTCTTCATATACTGTAGTCTTATGGCTCTAACTTTACGCCCTGTACGTAACTCTAGAAGCAAATAATATCTCAGAAACGCAAAGGACAGAACCCAATAAATATATACCGGGGCTGCTATCGTAACGTCCCACATGCGCATCCACAATTTTACAAAGACTTATGAGGGGCAGAAAAACCGCACTAACAAGCTGTCCTGAAGTGGCATGTGACGGCAAGCTGGTCAAAGTAGCGCATTGAAGCGTTTCCGATTTGCAGTGAGAGAGGGTGGCGTTAACCAATTCTTTGCACGGTTTTTCAAGTGGCTTGCATTGCGCCTTAATATTAAAGTGTAGGCAACAAAGTAATTATGTAAGAGTTTACTGTACTACAAATTTTGTAAGTATTCGATGAATCGAAGTCAGTAAATCCCATTGGTCGTTAAGTCCTTTGGCACACATAACGTGAAGCCGAATGTTTTTATTTCTATTGACTATTACGGTGATGAAGTTTAATATGAAGCCGGTATTTACCTCTCCTTCACTAATAACGCGCGTAAATGTTTCAGTTCTTTTTTGTAATCGTAGAATTCCTAGATTTATTATAAGTATATAATCTAAGGATACGTAACAGAGGAAGATACCTTAAACAAGTCATGCCCTCTCGAGTCATTAGTTTTATCAGCCAAACCTGCGATACTACCAGAGGGATTCACAGGGTTTACGCCTTATATAAAAACGTAAATAGCACCCACAATGAGGAAAAAAAGTAAACAACCGCCCGTAAACGCTGTCGAAAGTTCAGAGGCAAGTGAATCGTGAAACAAAAATTCCTGCCCCTCTTGCTATATATTAGTAAAAGTTAGCATAACTGTTTAATAAAAGAGCCAGAAGTAACTTTGTTAGGATCAAAATTTTCGCTGCATCTAAGTTGAAGAAGATCTTTTTGTTTTTCTTCAAGCAAATTCTGTTAAAAGTAAAAAAGGCCGAAAAGCTTTTAAAATTTAAAATTGCAAAGTTTGACGTATAAGGAACAGACTAACCTACGAGCGACACTTTATTATAGCGTGAAGTGAGGACGGACTTAACTAACTATTAAACAGGGATGCCTTTTCTAACGAATTACCCTCAAGGCAAATTGGTCTTCTAAGAGTTCACAGTGCTCGCCCTCTAATTTTTCAATGCGCTTCATTTGGGTATGAAGAAGGCGTTTAAACTCTTCATTTTCTTTTTTAAGTTGTTTATTTTCCTTATTAATATAATCAAAATAAAAGATAAATCTAAAAGATAATAAAGAAGTTAATTTGTACGGAATGGAAAATTATTACAAACCTTATATATATTTTTTAAAGGCGCAATTAATTCTTCTACTTGGTATTTTTCAAAACTTTCTTTCCTTTCAATTTTCGTTAGTGCCTCTAAAAGGCGTGCAGTGTATGATTTATAATCTTCTAAGGACTAAAAAGTAAAAATATATGAAAGAGCCTTCTTTTTATATATACGGATGAACCTGCGTATGGCTAGCTAAAACACAAACTTTATTAGAAAACGCTGTCATAAGCTTTTCTACCTGTTTTAGTAAAATATTAACTCCAACTTATTAAGAAAGTTCAACTTGAAAGAATATCTTAAACCAATAAACAGAAAGTAAAAAAAAAAATTTAACATATCGAGTTAACAATATTAAAATATCAGGTAGCAAATTACTAATTAAATTCCAACAAACATTTAAACTTTAAAAAATTAAAATCGATGTATCACTAAGAGGTAGGACAGAATCTGACGATATATTTTTAAAAATTCTCTTTCAAACTTTCAATACAAGGCGGCTCCTATAGAAAAGTTCATTATCAGTTATAACATACATAATATTAAACTTACTAAAACTCGTTAAGGTTTTATGCTTTAACAAAATTATTTTGTAATAAATTTAGCTTAAATTTAATGGTTCTCTTAGAAAGGAAAGAGTCTAGCAAAGAGGTAATGCCAACCCAAACTAATGCCAAAGATAACCACTCAATTTAATGTGAGGATTGCAATTTTTATAAGCTGATCTGGAATGGACTGAAGTAAGTGGCTCTTGCACACTCCCTTCAATTTGTCCCAGTTTAAGAGTTTGCTTCAGACCTCGCAAAAGTCACCATGTGAAGAATGGTTACATTTGGCTGTAAGCAATGCCATCTAAATTTTTTAATAAATTGTGCAATTTCAACGACTTTAAATTTTCTTACACATAAAAATGCTAGGGTAATAATAGTTTTTTATAAACTAAGCTGAAGTTAGAGGTGGTGGGGGGCTTACAGAGTGCTTGCAGCCGCTTTGTTTTCCTTCAGAAATTAATGTGTAAATTGTAATTCTATATAACTAAAGTAAAAGTTTTCAGCTAACACGACCAAACCATATATAGAGTAAAGGTATCCGCTTTTATTAGTATATATATATATTTTAGTCGCATTAGTTAATAAGGCGCGGTTGCTTTACAATTAGAAAAAGCGTTTGTTTAAAAAAGTAATTGTAATATAAGGGTATATGAATTGAATCTTTTTAAATAACGCTTGTTAAATTCCTAAAATTTTACTAAAGACTATAACATTTGTTTGCTCAAAGTAATTTTAATATTTTGGTCCTTAATAATTTAATAATACTTAGGGTTCAATATTAGAATGCTACAATTACATATATTCTCGCATCACAATAATTAAAAAAAACACCTAGGGGAGGTCATGTCGAACCGAAAACAAAAAAAATAGAGCCCCTGCAACGGTAATCGATCTCATAATTTGAATTCGCAAAATTCCAATTTATTTACATAAATAGTGTTCTCTAACCGAGTTAACTAATTTTTGAACTTTCAAGCACTCGTACAGAGCTTGAATAACTCGCTTTTTTTTTTTAACATTTATCCATCCTCTAACATAATCTTATTCGCAACTTTAAGGAAACTATCAATTAACATCACTCACAGACTTCGCGTGAGAATATCTTAAAACCGCGCAAGATGGCTAAAGTGTGCAGTTGTAGGCGCATGTTTTAGCATTATACTCGATCCGACATCTCCTTGGCTATCTTTATATCCCTCGGCCGTTCACTCGCTCAGTTCCTTGCTAATTTTGGCGTCGCCTAAATAAACGATTGCCTTTAAGCGGGAGAAAGAGGGCCCTTTCGGTCACTTTGCCAGTCAAAGACGAAGTTGATGAGACACTATTAATTAAACTTAGACGCAGGTTACGACACTTAAGTGTTCATCGTACTAAAAAGGTTCTAAGACCATCACTAAGTTGACGAAGTAGCTTATCAGGCCCATTTCCACCAATGACCTATAATTAAACATTTAAGTAATGTCTTCAGATTAAGGTGCCTGCCACTTCATTAGCGCCTTGACGGAGACCTTAACTTGCGCTTCGGCGCGAGCGGCTCTCTTGTGCTTGGCAGAAGAATGCTCAAATCGTGGATCCCTTTAGTAGCAAATGAGAAGGCAGATGGGGATCACTGGACAGCGGCATTCAGCGAAGAATGTCCCTTTGTTTGAGTTGCTCTTGCCTGTAAAATTGTCGTTTCCAAATCGCGATCAAGGCAGATTCTGGCAATTTCTTGTAGCCCTAGATCTTTTCAAGGTATAGAACACAGGCCTCCAATATGGCGCTTAACTTAGCTTTCCACGGGCAACGAGATCGCTAAAAGTATTTTTTTGATGTACCATCATAGTTGTTTCTGTCGAGATTAAATACAACTTTAATAAGGACAGCTCCACAGGGATACCAAAAACATATAGAAGGGCACACAAGTTTGTCAGTTTCATAACAGTAACCAGCATAATCGGAGTCATGACTGCTCGGATGAGGCATCAACTCTCGCAGCTGAGCTTTTGTCAAGAGGCGGTTAGGGTAGTACGCAACGGCACGTTCTGCTTTGCACTGGTATAAGCAACCATCACGAACTTGGCAACAGTGAAGGCATTGATAGTGGCTCTAATCATTGTGAGAACGTCATATAGAACGACTCAATAAATTTGTTTATGCTGGTAAAGAACAGAAGAGCTGTCCAGATGTCTCTTTTTGCGCCACTTAAAGTTAGCAAGTTGCAAAGTAAGCGGCAGTCACCCAGTGCTTCAACGTTGGGAAGGCTATTAGAATTGTATGAGGGCGAGGTTAAATATGCAACCATCACACCGAATAAGAGAGTCGCGTCGGCGAACTTGAATATGCGCGTCAACGCTCATAACCGCTGAGCTACGACGACAACTTTCGACCCCAGTATGATGGTTTTACGTTGTATTTTTTACCTATTGTTTTCCCATGTTATTACCCTCAGGCCAGGGGCCTTGGGCGATCCTAGGTGTCTTACATTAGCCCATGGCAGAGCTCTAGCTTAAAACGTATAGAAATTTTGAGGTCGAATTTGAACAAGCAACCACCAAAGACGAGCGATAGTTATTCTGCGTTTGCCATGTGCAGGAACCGAGTTTAATTCCCACCGTCGAACTCTCTTTATTGGTCTTTGATGGTTGGAATATTCAACCTTGCCCTCATTAACTTCTAATAAAGGCATTTTTAGAAACAAATGTACAGGTCCATGTGCTTGTTAAAAACATTTGTTAAGTTGATATAGGCTTTTCTCCCTCCTTAACCTTAGTGGATTGTTTTTCTGGTTTGTTCTCCTGTGGTCCCTGTCCCTTTCGTTTGGCTATTTTCTATGTCTCTTTACATTGGTAACACCTCTCATCTTAGAACTAGTGATCTAGAGGAATGTTTTAGAAAATACGGAGAGCTCATTCGGTGTGACGTTAAGCCTAACGGTAGCTTTTTTTGATATTAATTATTTTAAATTTTTAGTATTAAGATTATACAACCCCAACTTTTTTTTGATTAAACTACATTTTAATTTATATTTTTTTACTTAAAAGGATTTGGTTTTGTGGAATATGCCGATAAAAGAGATGCTGAAGATGCTTTAGAGCAAGAAAATGGTCAGTATCTGGGCGGGCAGAGAATTAGAGTTGAATGGGCTAAAGGAAGCATACGGCGTTCTGATGAGTGTTTTCGTTGTGGGGAGCCTGGTTTTTTTTTTATTATATAAAATCTTATATAAATTTACTTTGCCTTTCATTTTCTAGGCCACTTTGCTAGGGATTGTACTCGGGATGACTCAGACCGAGGACGCAGCGGCCGATACCGTCGTAGTTACGGAAGGTACCTTATTTTTTATTATATAAACTAATCTTTATTTGCTTACATAATTGATAGGAGTGACAGTATGTTATATTTAAAATTCATTTTCACTGATAAGTTTTTTAGAAGCAGATATTCTCGTTCCCGTTCAAGAACTCGCTCGCGCACTCGATCACGTTCTCGCTCGCGCACAAGATCACGTTCTCGCTCCCGCTCTTCTAAAAGACGGCGCGACTACTCTTCAAGTATTTTACATATATTATATTTGCATTATATTTTATTTTTGTATATTATTTCCATTTATATCTATTGTGTAAAGCAATTTATTAGACTCAAAACTTAATACTTACGTTACGTAAGGTATCTCTTATCTTTTTTAGTTTTACATATGAAACCTTCCCCGTTATTTTAAAATTAGGCAAATAATACTATTAAAATGCGTTAACATATTTTAATATAGTAAAACATATATTACAAGTAGTTTTAATAAATATTAATAAATGACCGTTTCTTATAGGACGTCGTTCGTATTCACGCACCCCTAGCCGCTCTCGCCGGGACTCCTCACGTGGCCATAGGTCCTCTCGTAGTCGTACTCGCGACAAAAGCCGTTCGCCGAACTGATACTCTCAGTGAGCCACACTTAACTAGTGATGGGACTTCTATTGTTAGTTTGTTTTCGTTATGACTAAATTAAATTATGGCCTTATATTTGAAGTTCGCATTCGCAATTTTTTTTTAAATGTTTTTGTTTGTTAGTTCCTTTTTCGGGGGCTCTTATCTACTGAAATTCTCACGCGCTCATCTTTTCCGACTGAGCCAAGAGAATAAAAGTTTTTTTTTCTATAAATCTTTTTTTGGTTAGTATTTTTCTTAGAAACTCGTAACTACAGAACTATTCACGTGTACCAACGGCCTATTTCTGCGTCGTGCCAGCCCCTTATTGACTGTGCCCGCCAGCTCCCATGTTTTACGGCCCTTGTAGCAGCTTCAACACTTTGAGCTCCCCTCTCCCGCTGGCTTTACACTTGCCGGTGTGCCGATTAAGTCTGACCTGCCGTCCGACCCCCCCTACCCCCTCCCTTTTGTCTTTCAATGACCTAACGGGTTTGGAGTACCGGTTCCGCTGCCCTAGTTTTATTGGTTTCAGCTTCCAGTTTTGGTTTGAGTGTGGAGTGTTTGCGTCCGCCGCTTTGTGAATCTCTGGGGCTTCACTATGACCACTATAAGAGCTCAGTCCATTACTCAGCTAGCGCTTTACGTAGAGTTTTAAACAGTTTGTTTATGTTAATACAACTTACAAAACTAAACGAGTTTGTCATCCGTGCGTCAAAGCACTCTCCCATTAAATATTTCCTCATTGTAGCTATAAGAGGTCCTTCATTTTCCTTTGGACAAGGACTTACTTACCCCATTAACTTACAAGCCATTGTTTACCGGAAAACCTGTTTGAAAAGAATTAAATGTAGTAGAGACTTAAGTTTAGCTTGTGCCATTGCAAAAAGTTAGGGAAATTATTTATTTTTTTTAATAGGAAGGTAAACTTGGCCAGCTTACCTAAATTTTTTTAATTTTTGTGTAAATGTTGATTGGTTGTGTTTGCTGTACATGTGCCTTTTTAACAGTTTTCAAGAATAGAATAACCTTTTTTCTAGGTTAGGTCTGATATTGCATTTTTATAAGTTGTATTTTATGATCTTTGCTAATTCGTAATTTTTATTGAAGTCACTTCCACAAGCGCAGATTATTACCTTTCTTTATTAAGACGTAAATATGAATAAATAAGTGTAAAGCCTTACCTTTAATATTATAATAAAAATAAAATAGTGAAAGTTAAAGCGTATACAAGTTCAAGATAGTAGTAATACCACTAGTTCTTGATTTCGTGTTTTTACTTGAAAGTAAAAGGTATATGATTTTTTTATGGATATTGAATGTTCTTGTGTAATGCCTCGTTATTAGGCAAATTCGCTTAAGAGCGCTTTGTCGATGTATCTGTGTTTTTCGCTTTTATATAATGGTTCAAGAATTCTGATTTTCAGCTTACCATTTGACCTTGCCTTAGCTCTTATGTTTCATTATAAAGATCTCAGGACTTCGTCTTCGTTGTACACATTTTTTACTAAAGCTAAGTAATATATAAAAAATAGTATTGCTGCTGGATTCTACCCTCTTAGGATCTTTGGACCGAGTTTATTTTATTTTTGACTAAAGTAGATATAGGATTAAGCCATAAATATGTATTTAATAAAAATGGTAGCGAGTAATAATTTAATTGAAAAACAGTTGATACAAATTCTTTTCAAGAACTTACGTCGAGGTTGTTTAAGTCACGGCGACTTTCTGTACATTATCATATTTGACGTTTTTGGAGGGAGAAGGAAGTTAATATCGGTTCCCCTCAAGCACTAACTTTTTTATTTTACTTGTGCATAGCCCCTTAACTTTAGCTCAACATGTCGGGTAGGGTTTTAAGTAGGTCACGCTATAACTTTAGTTTAGGCATCAAGTAAAGGGGCCCTTTAGAATGTGGTTTATTAAAAGTTAAAAAGTATGTTAGCCGGTAAACGGTTAGCTACAAAACGCCTAATAGAACAATCTTTACTGTCTTATACGTTTTTTCATATGCAAATTGTTAATTTTAACTTTTCATTATTGCTTTATAGAACTTACTTGGATCACCCATTTAGTATTTTCATTACAAATAAGTAGGTTCTTAAAAACATTTACGCGAAAAGTAAATACTTCTGATGATTAGTTTACTAATAAAAGCACCTCCTTGAGACGTTCTTAAGTAACAAGTGGTGAAAATTTTTGTTGGTTACTGGCCAAAAATCGTGTGATTGGAGTCATTTTAGCTTAGTGGCAACGTTAACTGGATTATACTCTAGGATGTTTAATTTAAAAAACTTAAATAAGCAGTTCTAAGCGTTTTTTATTATTAGCTGACCGTAGTTTAACTACGCAAGCTATTAAGTTATAAAAATGGTATAACTTAAAGTCGGAAGCACTCAATAGCGTAAGTAAAAAATACAACGGGACAGCGACCGGGGGCTCGCTTTTATGAAAGCCTGACACCTTCGCTATTTTTCTACTCCTTCTCATCATCAATTGATCAGGAACTTAACCGGTAAATGTTAGAAAATATAAGCGAATTAAAGCAAATATAATCCCTTTGAGTATAAGGCGCTTCTTGGGTGGGAGCTCTTCTTCAGTGGCAATTCCTCGGGTACACTCGAAAAGTTTAAAACAGTGCTTTCTTTTAGTGTTTAATTTTAATCTAGCCACTTACAAGTCACCATTTCCGATACTAAAGTAAAGAAAAACCTACTAAAATTTTTAAGGTTAGAAATATATCTTTTAAACTAGTAGACTTTTAATATGCCACTATTAGTTAAGAACTTGAAAAAATCTTTTTAATTTTTTTGCACGAAGAATGTAGGATGGAAGTCCCTTTTAGATCCCCTGGGGACATAAACGGAATCAAATATTATAGTACTTCCATGAGAAACATTGTGCTTATCTAGAGGTATTTCTTGGTTTTCCTGAAACAGCTTTAAGGGAGGCGAAAAAACAGGAAGAAGAATATATAAAAAGGGTTAATGCGCTTTAATAAACTTTTGGGAACGAGCGCATTGAGGGTTTACTTTACCTTCTGAATTTAAATACCAAGGGACTTATGCATTATAACAGGGGTTTTTCAGGTCTCCCTAGGATTAGGGTTGGTTACTGTAGGAGTTTAGAGGATTAGAATGTTTTACAAAAAATGTAATCACGAACGTACCCCCATGGCTTGTTAGTCGGTCTCTGCTGCTAAAGTTATTGACAGTTCTAATTTCCATTAAGATATTTTTATAGTTTAGCAAAGATCTATAAATCTATTATATGCTATAAGATTTCAAAGTATTTTCACAATTCTATTCTAAAAGTAATATAAATATCATTATTACTCAATAACGTTAATATTAAAGTAACCATAAAGCTAACTTCTGTAATGTATCTGATTTTTGTTCACAAAAATTATAGTTTTTTTGTATCTTTTTTTAAATTCTTTTTATAGTTTAAGTTAGAATTAGGTAAATTATTTGATTTTTCTTTTTAGTTTTGAAAGGAACTTTAGTTTCTTAGTACTTTAGGTGTATTACACTGCACGAAACAATCGTATATTGTAAGCTACATTAATACCTACAGTCTTGCTTGAGCCCCTCGAAGGTTTAGCTTAAGTCTTTATTTAACTTATTATTTTGTTTTACTAAGTGATTTAAACTTATAAATTAAAGGTTATAAAAAGCCTTGTTTTTTTTAGAGTTATAAATATGCAAACAATACTTAATTCTAACATTTAATAAAACTTTGAAAGGTAACGTCAGTTTTTTTTGCTCTTACACCTGCAAAATATAGACTTTGTACGACAAACTATTTAGATATGAAAGATCCTATAAAACATATATAAAAGCCTCTACGGAAGTAAAATAAAGTCAAAGGGTAAAGAGTACTGGATAACAAGATCATTTGAAGAACTAAGAAAAAAAGTAATTCAAAAGGATGTAAAGTAGCCGAGTAGTAAATTATTTATACTACTACTAATAGATATACCAACAAAAGTATGTAAAACAGTTCACTTGGTCGAAAAATCTACCTTGCAAGATTATAGAGTTTGAAGTGTACATAAAATATATATTTGATAACATAAATTGTAATAAATAAAAGTAGAGATAACATTTATTTTAAGTAAAAAAGATACACAAATGGCCCCTAAAACAAAGTCATACAAAATTCCAGTCCACTATCACAGTTCATCTCATACCCAGACCAAAAATAAACAGAGCCAGCAACCATTAGGAAAAATAAAAAGTAATCAAATTTATGGCTTCCCACAAAAATAATACTTTTTAGCTTTATCGATAAACTTCTTTAAAGACCAAAATCTACTAAAAAATCTAAAAATTTCTCAAAGGGATCTACAGGTGGCCTGCGACCGCTTGAAACTTTGAATTTAGAGATTTTCTTAAGGTAAAAGAGGCAGAGCTTCCGTATTTCTTCTCTATTCTTTTATGTAGTCTAACTAGATTGCCAATAAGACCCATATCAGGAGCTATTTAGCTATTTACAAAAACTTACAATAATCAACTTTATAACTTCTGCCCTCGTAACCTTCTGAGACGGTCCTAACGTCTCAGCTTGTTTGTCCACGGTGATGTTATCAACCCTTTCTATTGAGACCTAAAAATCTAGAGGGGTTTGTCCACTCACTGCAAGAGGCTCTGGTACATTTGGGATAGCTAAAGCATTGAATATCGGACTTTAAAAATAAATATGTTTATGAGCACACTAATAACCCTGAAAATATCTAAAGGTTCCTCATCTGACGCAACCTTGCAGACCTTTGCTCTTGGTCAAGTTGCGTCACAAAGAGTATATGGTTGCCTCACCTCAGTGTCACGTTTCTTCAAGGCATCATTGGGCGAATGCATCCTTTCTAAGCTACTGCTAGATTGAGGTAATTCACTACACATATTTGCTTCAGAAAAGTAAAGTTTTAGTCAAACTCTTGTTCCTTACCTCTGCTTAAGAAAACCTGCATAACATTCTATGAAGCAGTAAATCAACCTTAACAAGCTCAAAATATGCATGTCATTACTATCAAAAGCCAAACCAAACGTTTTTCTAGCTTCAATAAAAAATTTCATTGGGTCATAAACTTTTATGCGATCAATAATTTAGATTATAAACATTTATTAGCTTCAATTCTCCGGTTAACATCTTTTAAATTGATATTGGACCGGCAAAGAAAAAAGTTGTAACTAAGATTTCCTTTATGCCTAAGGAACCATGCATCAAACGCACCATTTTTTCAAAATCCCATTTAACTTTAACAGTCCTTTTGGGCCTCATCCCAAGCATCTTGACTACTTTACACAATTTTTCTCTTTCTTTATATATAGCGCCTCCTTTAGAGTATACAACTGAATTAAACATACAACCTTTGAAATTTTTATCTTCCGTAACACTTTTACAAAGGGTAGTGCATGACCTCTTCTTAAAGACGTTCTCTAAGCTTCCTAAAAATTCTTTATTATAAAGTTTAAATCGCCTTCCAGTCATACACATAAAAGGAAGCTTAAAATATGGTTTATTATCCAAAAAATAGAAAGCTGAACGCATATAACTCTTGAAAGAAACATTAGTGCACTCACTTTTTAAAAAAAAAAAGAAACGCCTTAACTTTAAAATAAAGATTAACTTGGTACATTTCTGAGTATGCTTGACTACAATAATTTCCAGTCTCGCTTTTCCCCACAAATTCTGCGAATAAAACCCTTTTCAAGCTATCTCTAAGGCGGGAATAAGTTAATTAACGTTTGCTCTCTACTGAAGATTCATTATATTTAGAGGAATATAGAGGAAAGGAGGTGGAAATGGGCATTACTTCTTCCTTTTAAAAGAAACTTTTTTAATACTATCTC